GTATTTATAAAATTAAATTAAATAATAAACTATAAATGACCATTTCTTTTTTTGTCTTAAAGCACTATTTGAGGCCGAGATGCGATTTCTTAACCAGCATACTGTATTCATCAAACCGCATTTATTGTTCTCAAAGCGTATTGTATAGCTATATCTGTCGCAAGCCAGTAAGGTGTTCCAGTATGAAGAGTCGGGTTGAAGTTAGTCTGTCCATCTCGAAGCAATAAAAATATTGATAATTTACTGGTAGGTTACAGGTAGTAGGACGTATTGGAAGCCCGTATGAGTAGATATAATAATGATCCTGCCCATTTCTACCGCAAAGCAGTTATGCATTTGAAGGATGGATCAGCTGTTATATAATAAAATTGAAACTCTGACATCATGTCTAAAGGTGGGTTCGCCATTATTCTTATGATGTTTGGTGTTTGGTATCCACTTTACACCAGACGAACCGTGAGCTTTTAGACTTCTCTAAATAAAAACACAGTTTTAGTGTAAATAACACAGAAAAAAGCCTTGTAGTAGTCAAATATTTACTGGGCGCTATAATATAGCAAAGAGCTTTTTTTTATTTATAGCTTAGATGGGTGAACGAGTTCACAGCCCACCTGGAGTTAAGTGGTTACTGGAGCCCATAATCTATCTACGACTATCCACATCTACAACGTAAATGCGCCACCCACCTTGAGATATAAGTTCTAAGGTCTCAATATAGTTATATTGTCAGTCTCATGTATTTCTCATGTAGTTGTATTGTCAATCTCATGTATTATCTCAGTATTGTCTATATATCTAATGTTTCTTTAGGTTTAAATATGTAACAGCGGTGATTTATTAACTGTTTAGTATCTGTGGAAGTGCACAAATGTGGGAAAATGAAAAAAAGTCGCTGGACGTTACTTTTCAGGATTCTCCGAAAATTCCATTGAGAAAGTCTCAGTAATTAACCACCATTTTACTGACAATATATTTCATTCTATATTATCTCATATCATTTCATTTAATTTGCCAATTGCCAATTGATTAATGTTCCAAATCAATCAACTTCGTTTCTTTTCATTTCATATTAATAATATATTTTTTAATTTTTTTAATATATAAAAGATTTGGCTGTATGGTATGATACCTGTGCCCTTCCAATTGAAAAAATAAAACTACTACTACTACAAATTTCAAAAAGTGTAAACAAAAACATTGATTTTTATTACATACGAAACCTCGAAACAGCCTCCTCTCAATTTAGAAACTTTTCAATACATTCGTACAATTTTATAAAATATGGAAAAAATGTCGAAAGTAACAAACGTTAATTCGAGTTTGGCTTATGAGATATTACTGTATTTGAACAGTTTTTATTTAGGAATGTTTATCGTTTGTGAAGTCGCAATGGGGATATTGAAGGCTATAAATGTTTCGTATCCAGAAAACGCTCTATTAACAGAAGCCGGAATATTTAGCGCCCTATGCTTTGTAGAGATGATTAGGATCTTTTTGGGGCGTAGAGGAAACTTAGCAAGCAAAAGTAAGTATCGTATATATTCAATATTCTGCAAAAATATATTTCAAGATTCGTTGTTGTACGGAATATGTACTAAATCGCAAAAAAATATTTTGTGTCTTAAGTAAATTAAAATAGAAACTATTTTCGTTTCGTTCAATGTTACTTTTCACCATAATATGTTAACAATGTTTTTGTTACAGAAATACCGGTCTTTCTGTCAGTGCTATTGACGATTCCCTCTGCTGTAGGAGTATGTTATTTTCTAATTTATCAAACTTACATACTTCGGTTGGAATACATCTGGTGTGCCGTCATGTTAATGTTCCATGCTCTCGAGTTTGCTTTTGCAATCTTATTTATTTTTACTGTATGTAAAAATCAACAATTTGATTAAATAATGAAAACCTGAACCTCAAATATTGCAAACATTCCATATTTTTATTAAATATAGCATTAATTCAATTTGATCATTGTAATTACTCTTGTGTAGTAAACTAGGATTACTAAAAGTTAGAAACATGTGAAAAAATATAATCTCATGCCTTATGATTCTCCTTACTTTGTTGTTAATCTGGTAACATTATATTTACTAGTCTGCATTTTTATGTTTCTAGCCATTTGTAACATTAGTAATCCCCTTTGTGAAAACTGCATTAGAATTACTGTGATCATCTTATTATATTATACCGCTTTGAATAAAATCAAGAGCAACATGTAAATTAAGACTGTTTTTTTAACTTTAATGTTCAAAGTTGGCTTTTGATCTTTATGTGTCTGTTAATTAAATATATTTAATTTAATTTTATTGATTTTTAATATTTATAAATTAGAGTTGGTGAAAAATAAAGTATTAAACTAAATAACATTTAACTAATTTATTTTTATTCTAAATTATTACAATGGCAATTCACTCTTCGCTTTCTTTCTTAGGCGGTACTAAATGTTCAGGTAACTTTTGACATTCAATTTTTGTAACTTTCAACGCACAACCTTCTGGCAGATTCCGTTCGATATATTCCAAATATGTGTCGCACGTAGATCCAGTGAGCCTCTGCATATGTATAAACCTGAAGTATGTACGAATTTCATACTGCACTTTGTGTTTCTTGTAAATGTGTACACATTTTAAAAGTGTGTGCCTTTCTTTCTCTGCTTTCCTTAGTGCCCAACTGAAAAAAATAAAACTAACTAGTAGTATCTCTTTTAGCACTAATAACTTAAATTTAAATCTTTAATATGAAGGGTAAAATTTTAAATTGTAATAAATCATCTTCAAATGCCTCTATCTCCCTATATTTCATTATTTCATTACTAGTACAGGTATAAGGTACATGTAGTTTTAAGTGATAACCAGAGCCCATAGAAATCTCAATAAATTTCGATTCTATTGGCCGTCCTACCTTTCAAAGCAGAGCACATTATTATTTCTCAGCTGAAATGGGCAGGATTGTCGTACCTATCCATACAAGCTTTCAACTGGTTGGAGATCACATATATACACAAGTATATACACTCATTTGGAAATTTGGGGTTTGGGGAAGGCTTAACGACGAAAGGAAAGATCTTCCACCGAGCGGATGATATTGCTCGGTAGACCGACGGTCCGAATGTTGTTGTTCGGAACTTGTATATATGCGCTTTATCTTGAAAATGTCGTAAGCGAGATTCAGGCATCTGTCAATTATCTTGCGTTGTATGATGGCTACCCGCCACACTCAAAACTGCTGTTGCCTATTCTTAAGCAAATCCCGTAAAAACCTACTATGATAACAAAAGTAAGAGATGTTCTGATGCTATTCTGGGCTGACAGAACACAGATAACATAAAAATGTAACAAAGCTATACTATGCATTCCTATATATATCTCTATAGGTATAATATATGGCAATACAATAAAATAATGAAGGCATCAAATATTTTATAGGAAGCAAAATCAAATTCATCTTCAAAATAATAATTTTGATATATTCAAAGAAGTACACTAATTTTGGAAGACTCTTTGTTTCATCTATTTACAGTTGATTGGTATTTAATGTGTTTATTTCTGTCAATTAAACCTTGACAGACTTTAACCTTATTGCAATTTTCTAAAAGGATTTAAATATAATAACTATTTTTCTCTTTCGTATTTCATGTTATTAGTGTGAACATAAAACGTTAACTGGCTAGACTTTCCTTTATGGTTGATCAATTTGGAAGTTCACAATTTTTTTGTATATAATACTCATAAATAAAAAGCTTTTTGCAAAATTTCAGGTTGCGGAAACTTATGGTTTGCAAGAAAAAAACATTGTTTCCATACAAATTGAGGAAATCGTCAAGGTAGACAATGGACCATAAAGGAAAATTTAACTCTTTTAACTTTTGGGATAAAAGCATGTATAAAACCTGTTTTCATGATTTTTAATTTTATAAATCATGAAAATCAAAGAGCTATTCTCTCATTAAAAGAACAGACTCGTATTTCTAACATACCTCTTAGTGACTTCGATACCAAGATGTGAAGCAGCAGCAACGCAAAACCATGAATAGCTGAGTAGCACAGCCGGGTCTATACCGCGCATTTCTAATTCTACTCTTTTATATAACTTGTCCAATTCCACAGGAGGAACCACTGGTTCAACAGCATGAGGTAGCGCCGTTGTATTGGCGGATAGTGATCGAATTGCATAATTTGGTATTGTAACACCTCTAACAGGAGTTAAACGCCAGATACTCTGAAAATTAACCCATTATTTTCAATGTAATAACGATTCAAGTAAATTAGATTGTTCTGACGCGTATGCTTTTTAACTCACTCTTATTGCATTCATATTTAAATATAACTTAATTTCTATAGTATTATCTTAATTTTGTCCTGTAGAAATATTTAATAATTTAATTTACTTCCACTTTCATAATATTTTTACAGAACGTAACCTCAAATATATTAAGTGTATAATCTATGAACGTAACCTAAAAATAAAACTTTTTATTTTAGTCCAGCTGCGCAAGCAAAGGAAGCATGGCCTTACATACTACAATAAGCGTTTTGATTAGTTACAAAGTTATTAAAGGAGGCCACGACCCTCAGCGACAGCGTTGAGGATTATCGGTGGAAGAAGTATAATACAATAAAAAAAATACATTACATTTAAGGCCACAAAAAGTATACTATGTAAAATTACAAACTTGAAGTAAACAAAGTCACTCAAAGTTTTTGTGTCTATGATTCACAGGGTTTCATTTGCTATTTTCTAATCGCCGAGATATATGGGTTTTTACATTAGATTGTTGATTTCCGAATTTACATGTTTCAAATTCCTAATCTCCTATCTCTGTCAAATATGAGTATTTTCTATGATATCTATTTAGTCTGTATTTGATGTTTAGTACAATTAACTATAGTTTAGGAACAGACAAGTCTGTATGGGTTTAGATCCCCTTGCCTTTCCTAACAAGGAAAAATTGTACCAAAAAAAAATCTATGGTAAATAGTAGGATTTCGTTCGCGTTATGACCGTATTGACATAAATTAAGTATTAATATTGTTTAATAAAGAGAAAGAGACTACATACTACATAATAATATATTGATAAAACCTTTTTTTTGTACAATCAAATACATATTTTTAAAACCAATACAAAGCTCGATTCAATACACAACATGGTTGGCCCGATGTTGTTGTTTAAAATGCTTCATTGTAAACATTTAAGAAAAACTTTAGAAAAGTCAAACAAGGGACTGTCTAGCCAATGTTCAAATAACATCTATATAAAAAAAGAATTTGATGATACTTCATGTAGAATTTGTTTGAAAGAAGGTTGCATACCAATCTACAGCAACGACGAAATACCACAGGCTTTAAGCTCTTTTGGCGGCATATTTGTAAGTATCAGCGACCCGTACCCGAAATATTTGTGCCAGCCGTGCTACTCTCTGCTCCAAGGTGCAATGCTATTCAGAAAAAATGCTCAACGTTCCGATGAGATACTTAAACATCCCATAGAAGATAATTCAGAAGACACTATTCATGACAATGATCTGACCGATCCATGCTTTGATGACGATTTATACGATTATGATATATTCAAAATTACAAAGAAGCAAGACAAAAAGCCAAAAGATTACTATTGTAAAAAATGTAACATGGAATTTAAAACACATGATGAATATACGGAACATAGGCTTTCAGATGAACATGATAATCTTAGACACACTTGTCAAATATGCAACAAGTCATATAGAGCAGAATATTTAAAAAAACACATGAAAACCCATATCCAAGATCCTCCTTACATGTGTGATATATGTGGTAAAAAATTCAAAGTCCAGGGACACTTCTCTCGGCATAGAGTGACACACTTCTATGAATTGCCATACCAATGTAGTTTGTGTCCTTACAAAGGCAGATTTAGTGAATCCCTAAAGATGCACATGAGATCACATACAGGAGAAAAACCATATCAATGTGTTCAATGCCCTTCACGTTTCATAAATAAGAGTAATTTGAACAAGCATATGCTAACGCACAAAGGACAGCATGATTTTAAATGTGATTCATGTGGACGAGGATTCTACACAAAAAGAGAACTGGAGTTACATTTTAAAGTTGATCATACTGGGATAAAGGACCATGTCTGCAATATATGTGGGAAAGCTTTTGGATACAGGAAACAAATGATGAAACATCAATTAAAAGTTCATAAAAGAGAAAAATTAAGGAGCGGTAGAACTCCTCTCTATGTCAAATTAGAATTGATGAAGCAAAAAGGAGAAGAATTAATAAACAACCATTAAGTTTTAAATGTATTTTATAACATGTTTATCAATCAAAATGATGAAATATGAAATGATTGTTTCTGTTTACTTATATTAATTTAAAACTAGCTTTCTATCTGCAGCTTTTTACAGATGGACTACATTTTATATTGTGTGGGTAGACCTAATTTTTTTTTCGATCTTGCGCCTACGTTGTACCCGCACTGGGGATGCGAGCGGGGAATGTGGGACTTGATGATCTGGAAATGTTGGGAGATGACTGTGGGCCCAAGGATATTTTAGGGCCCTACCGCACTAAACAACTCCCCTGCACTGTTGCACCCGACATCCAATCTCACCACCATCACCATTTGAGCATAAAAACAAACAAGACTTTTTTTCAAATATTATTTACACTGTAACTTCTGACATTTATTACAGTACAAGAGTGGTGGTAGGATGTAGGTGGTAGGTACCACCACCCTGCCTATTTCTGCTGTGAAGCAGTAATGCGTTTCGAAATGAAGGGTGGGGCAGCTGCTGTACTGTTAAAAGTAAACCTTAGAACTCGTGTCTCAAGGTGGGTGGCAGTTTACATTGTAGATGTTTGTGCTCCGGTTACCACTTAAGACCAGGTGGGCCGTTGGCTCGTCCAGCGATATAAGCTATAAAAAAAAGTAATTCCATAACATTTAAATAGTACCTAATTATTTTAAAATTCAATTTTGGTTATAAACTATGGTATAGTGTTTCTCAAGACGAGTACACGATCTAATCAGAATCAATTGCTTTGAACAAATTAGAAGGGTATAGCAGTTTTTACTTGTTTCAATTATATTTAGTTATGAATTATGAAATGAAGTTTTCTCACATTTGGTTTATTATTATAAATTTTATATCCTCGTGCATGTTTTGCATAATGTACAGCTACCATCGCCCTTTATCGATTGTGTCCTAATTTATCATATTGTTAATTAATTAAAATGTTGGTATGTGCAGTAAATATAATTGAAATTTATAAAATAGGAATTATCAGCAATAAAAAAATAGATCCCTAATACTAAGGAAACAGTTGTTTCTGAATGACGTCAACCAATATAGATTCCTATTTCAAAAACTACAAAATTCCTAAATTCAACTTCATATAATATCAACCTGTAATATTTTTTTAACACATGCACAACAAACAAGATATAGGTAGGTAATAAGTTTTAGTTTGATTTTAATGTTATCGTAGGAGATGCAATAAAAATGTCACTTGGAACAAAAGCATGGAGCTTAAGAAAGAAAATAAAACATCATTACGGAAACCAGGATTGTGGAAAAATATCTCACAGTACAGTACTAAAGTAGGACTATTTATGGATTTGTATGAAATAAAGAGTGAAGCTTTCATAAACACTAGACAATATTAAAAATATGGATCGACTTAGTGGCCTCACGTTTTAGTTAGATTAATGGCTGTGCTACTATTGCCAATTACAGAATATGGTGGTGAGTGCGCACTAGAAACACTCACTAGACCGTAACGTTGGTTTGAATAATTATTTAAACCTTTTTTAAATTTCCGGCCAATTATTCAGACTATATGCAGTGACATTAGAATTGTCAAAATAAAATAGACACTTATACTTATATTACGTTTATCAAAACCGATATAATTGAGCACGTTAATTTACGCGGCGAATATTTTTAGAGTCCATAAAAATGGCCAATGAAGCTGAGGACACAATTCGAAAACTGTCGACGTACAAAGGCGTGGTTGGCGTCGTCGTTGTAAACGGAGAAGGAATACCGATAAAAACCACTTTAGATAATCACATTTCCGTACAATACGCGGGCCTATTGACCGCGTTGGTGGACAAAGCGAAAACTGTCGTGCGAGACCTGGATCCGTCTAATGACTTGACATTTTTGAGGATAAGAAGCAAAAAAAGCGAAGTAATGGTGGCGCCCGATAAAGAATTTATATTAATAGTAGTTCAAAATCCTGTTGAGTAATTTGAAATTTACTAAGTATTACCACCTGTTTTGGTTGAAAGGTCAATTTTTTTTTTAAAATAAATATCCTTCACTTAGATTAATTAGTACGGCAGTTTGAGACAAATTTCATAGAATTATTAAGACAGAATAAAAGCTGCATTTAGAAGTCTAAAGTTTTATTTAGTCAATAAAATTACAATCACACCACACACCTTTTCCTGCTGATATTTCAATCCCCAAAAAATCATTTCCAGGATACGGAGGTAAATGCGTATTACTAGTTGCAGGAATAAAAAACGTGTTTCACTTATTATTCAATCGGGCTATAGTTTTTAAGATAGATGTTGTTTTTATTTCACAGTCGAACAATCAAACCAAAGTTTATAGACTTATAAGCTACGTAATATTGCTAGTTCGGGACGATATTAACCCGCCCAACGTTATGGTAATCATTTCGTGGTACAATGGAATATAAAATCTATACAGAATAATAGATTAATAACGTTGTGTCCAACTAGAGTTTCCCTGATTTCTGTTACCGAACCCGGATCCCCTAGAACTACCAAAGCTTCCATGGTTACCCAAGCTTCCTTGGTTACCAAAGCTACCTTGGTTACCGAAGCTTCCTTGGTTACCATAGCTTCCTTGGTTACCATAGCTTCCTTGGTTACCATAGCTTCCTTGGTTACCAAAACTTCCACGGCCGCTATTAAAATCGCCTCTTCCGCCAAAGTTGCCACCTTGATTCCAAAAACCGCCTTGACTGCTTTGAGTGCTGATACCACCATTTCCGAAGCGCGTCCCGAAAGCACCTTGGTTTCCTAATCCTTGGGTAAAGCCTCTGCCTGTGGTCCCTCCACCACCAAAACCACTTCGAGGTCCGTTAGTTCCCCATCCTCTCATGGATCGTTTTGGACCTTCGGATCGGAACGATGGCATGTTGACGTCTCGTTTTATGTTGTAGTCACCGGCGTCCGTCACACAAAGCTCCCGCAGACATTCTACCACCTGTGCGCAATTAAACAATATTATAACACTTTTAATTATAAGATAGCTTGGCAGAGCAATGCCGGTCTCAAGCCCGGATGAGAAAAGGGGATGATTGAGTTGAAGTTCAACCGTTTCCGCCATAAAACAGTCAACGTCGAATGTCCGGAGCCATATAAGGCTTCAGCGGCCTCGAAAAACTAAATCTCTTCCAAAAGCACTCCCGTGACATGACGCGGGACCCTACCACGTGTATTTTCCCAAGAAATCCTCATGAGGTCACAACCCTCAGCATTGAGGATTATCGACGCAACGAGGAAGTATAAAATATATTTGAGATTTTTTTTTATTGTCCCTGTAGGCAGACAAGCATACGGCCCACATGATGGTGAGTGGCTACCATCGCCCATGGACTTCAGCAATGCCAGGGGCAGAGCCAAGCCGCTGCCTACCGCTTAATACTCTCCACAAGCCTCGTTTGAAGAAGGACATGTCGTATGTAAGTATTTCTGTGAGTGCGCGGTTTGGTCACCTTTCGCTCTGCCGGCGAGAACTGCAGCGCCGCGTCGGGTTGGGCCGCCGCGCGCTCCACGATCCTCTCGATGGCGGGCCGCAGCGCTATGATGAGGGCGGCCGATCGCGGCGACATCTGGAAGTTCAGCCAGTTGTCCAGCCGCACCACGTTGTCCACCTTGGTGAAAAAATAATAATATTTTAATAACACTATTTTATAACATACTAGCTTTTGCCCGCGACTTCGTCCGCGTGGAATAGTTAGTTTGGCATAACGCTAAATTTAACCCACCTCTTCATTTACGTAGAATATCCTCTTTATAAAAACACCCTCACAAATAATGCTTTATTTTAGAACAAAGGACATGGGCCATTTTCGGCCCAGCTACTAGTGCTTTCAAGGACACGAATGAAATATCTATAGAAAAAAACATTTCAATTTTACATATTTATTATAAAATTTAAGGGAAATTTAAGGGTATTTTAATGGTGGGATTATTAAAATCATAAATAAAAAGAAATTAGCATGACTAAGCTACATTGATAATATTGAAGGAGTTGCCATAGGTAAAATATATTTATATTTTAAACAATCCACATTAAATCTTCTTAAAAAAGACATTATATTGCAAAAAAACAAGCAAAATATTAACATATTTAATTAATGGATTTTAAAACTAATATAAAAAATTATATCTAAACAAAAATCTATTTTTATACTTTTAAATCCGTAGAATAAATCATTACATTGATCAATAATTACCGATCATAAGCAAAAACAAAACGCTTGTTTAATGTTTATTTACGTTTTACATTTGATCAGTCGTTTTCGCACTCGTGCGCATTGTGGATATTATTAAGTGTTTCGTTGCCGATATACCTGCTTATTATATTTTGTTGTGCATAAAATTAAGTCTTGGCGTTCATTGAATTAGGTCTGTGGTATAAAGTATAGTAATATAAATAATATTTAAGCTGATGATGATGATGGTAAAGTGTAAGTGTATTGACAGCAAATCATATTATGATAACCTATATCCTATACATTTATGTGTTTGTGTCTCTATGGACTTATTTTTTCGTTTCATCGGGTTTAAAATCGCAACGATTCTAAAGAGGTTTCACTTCAAAAATGAAGATCGACGAACTAACCCATTCCACTTTGTTACAGCCGAAGAGCAGCAGATGTATGGGAGCGACCATGGTGGTCTGCTTGCAGCTGATGGCCCGGGTGCGCACCTTCTCGCCGAAAACGAACAGAGGCGAGGGGAACTTCTGCTCCATGTTGCTGCAGTTCACTGAGGTCTTGTGTATCAATGCCGGTTTCCCTTCCGTCGTTAATACCTGAAATTACATTGGTTTCCATGGCAACACTGTGTTTTAAAAAGATTCGTTAATTGGCCTAAAGGTCCTAGATACCAGGCCATAAGCTAAAAAAAAGACTCGTTAATTTATTTGCTTACTGCTTAATAAAAAAGTACAGGGACACATTCATTTTTATAACGACAAATAGATTCATTCTTACTTTTAAACGACAAGGTCATTGGCCTCATAGTAGCCAATCACTAGTGTGAAAGTGAAATAAATAAATAAATATTACAATAGATTGGGGGGAACCGGGATGCTTTTCAAATCCAACACAAATTTTCAGCGGTTTTTCTTAGGCTAATATAATTGAGATTAAAATAGTTCCAGGGGTTTATATTTTCATATACGATGCGCTATTAGACATTGAAAAATATACACAAAACTTAAAAAACTAGCTTGACCTGATTCACCTTGGCTTTTGGGGTGAATCGGGTCACGTAGGGGGACAAGATTATCGATAGGGCTGGCAGTTTTTTTAGTTGTTAGGTAGGTACTTACCTTTAGGTAATTAACTTTTCAATATCTTTAATCAGTTACAAAACTTTGGTGACTACATCAAACTATTTATTATATTCTTAAGCACCAAATAAAACTGCTTTTCTATTCAACAAATTTAAATCTCACAAAAGCATTGTGACAACCAAGATTTGTCCCTATTCTACCCTTAGTCCCTATTTCCCCCAATCTACAGTACAGTATTAGATACAGTTACCTTCCTCTTCCCTTGGTGTAGACAAACGTTAGGGTACAGGCCCATGCACATGAGGGCTATGACTAAGTCCAAAGTTGGGTCCGGTCCGTTCGGCATCCAACGTTGTGGAACACAGCATTCTTCGTTGAAGCCTATTGCGGTCGTGAGGATATCTGGAATATACGTTAAATGTTAATTTTATTTGGCTCTCACAACTTGAAATAATGCTAAAGCGATAACGTTGGTTTTAGTGTATTAATATTATTTTTAATTTTCGAATTACATTTTAGCAATTTAAGCATTTTTTAAATGATGTTCATATTAAACCGTCTCTACGGACTCTTATCTTCTTCAAGAGATAACTCAAAATGAAACAATGAGCATGAGGCGACATTGCCACCACTATAACCATTAAGTCTATGACCAAAAAACACACACGTCAAGTCATATAGACTTATTGACAGATATGGAATTTTGATATAATTTTTCTGCAGTTGATACAATTCAGAATTATAAAACCAATACTGTGTAATTACTTGACCCGGTGATAACTGTGGTGTTTCAATATACATAGAATCCAAATGACATGCAATGTTTCTATTATTCCGAAACCCTCAAAGAATTTCTAAGAGCACACGATATATCATTTCACTCAGATCCAGGTTATTATTTTTTCTAGTGTTCGCAAAAATGAGTTCTAGACACAGTTTACGGTGCAAGCTTAAATGGCTTGTGTGCCCGGTCATCGTTCTCGTCGAACCCGTCGCTTGCGACGAAGGGCTCGACGAGTAAATTAACCCACAGACACAGCCCACTGAGTTTCTCGTCGGATCTTCTCAATGGGTCGCGTTTCCGATGCGGTGGTAGATTCTGCGAAGCATTGCTCTTGCTAGGGTTCGTGTTAGCAATGTCGTCAGTTTTGAGCCCCGTGAGTTCACCTACTAGTTAAGGTTCCGCTGATATAGCCTCTCAAGGCTCTCAGTTTAGGTACGAAAAAAAAAAGTCTTGTGTACATATTTATTACTCACTTATTAATTGATGTTTAGCCTCGTAAGTAACACGCAGCGTGGTCTGCTGTACGCCCTTCCATTCGCACCACCGTAGCTCTGCCTCTTCGCCTTTGTTGTGTTCTCTCTCCCACATCTAGGTGAAGCATAAACAAAATTATAATACAATTTTATTTCACTACGGAAACAGCCACGCCTCTATGGAAACTTTGTTAGCTTGCCTAAAGATAAATTAACAGTAACATAATATGTACAAAAACGGTGCGCGTGCAACTTGGTGCACGTGAATGAAGTGTAACTTCTATTTCGATGTGTAGTATTGTAGTTTTCTTTGTTTTTCATCCTTAAATCAGATTGCTCTTGTAACAGGGAATGTTGTGTATAAGAGATGCGTCATCTTCAACATTTATATTATATATATTTTAAATTATAGATAGAAAAATAAATAAATATATATAAAATATATATACATTTTTTTTTTAAATACTTCACTATTGTATTGGACGCTACTCGTTACTAAAGCTCGCGCTGGCCTGTAAATAGGTTACACTACGCGCTTGCGTTCGAGATCCACGTGTTCTCTCGCTCGGTATCTTTCTATTCCATGGCAGCGTTAAACGTTTAACGCAACCTTGTTGGAAGTGACATTAGAAGTTTCACTTCAAAAATAAACGCTGACTTCCACACACTACGTTTGTGATGTAAGTTGTTAGTACATATATTTGCATGGGAGTCAACAAACACAAAATATATATATATATATATATAAATAAATATATGAAGTACCTGGAAAGCATTCAACATGGCCACGTGGTCAGAGGCCCGGTCTCCGCCCAGGGCTCTCTGGTGCATCGACAGTCTCCTCCGGCCTTCGAGCACGAATATTTCCGGGAACGTTGTAGAGTTAGCCGCCATCGTGGTCAGGGCGTCTCCAACGCCAAGCACGAAGCCTAACACCATCATTTTGCCGAGGCGAGGTTCTGAAATGGAGCACGTCATTACTGGTGGTAGGAACTCTTGTGAGTCCACGCGGGTAGGTACCACCATCCTGCTTATTTCTGCCTTGAAGCAGTAATGCGTTTCGGTTTGAAGGGTGGGGCGACCGTTGTAACTTTACTTGAGACCTTAGAACTTTTAACTCAAGGTGGGCAGCGCATTTACGTTGTAGATGTTTATGGGCTCCAGTAACCACTTAACACCAGGTGGGCTGTAAGCTCGTCCACCCATATCTATATATATAAAAATGAATTGCTGTTCGTTGTTTCGCTAAAACTCGAGAGCGGCTGGACCGATTTGTCTAATTTTGGTCTTGAATTATTTGTGGAAGTCCAGACAAGTTTTAAAAGGTAGATAAATATGAAAATGCTCAGAATTAAATGAAAATAATAATTTTGTTTTTCCTTTGATGTGTCCCCCGTCGGACGGATTCCTTTTGTTTGTTTTAATTTTATTTTATACAAAAATTTAGGTCTTTTATTTATCGATTGAGGCACTACGAAGTCTGCCGGGTCAGCTAGTATTATGATATCTTTATTCTTACATATCCGTAACGCAAAGAGGTTTATACATTTATCAGAAGCACGGTGACTAGACCGAAAGCGCAGTCGTCCATGGACATCAACAATAGCAGGGCTACAAAAGCCTCGTCCCTCTCTTCCTCTCCGGAGGCGTCGGAGTCCGATATAACCCGGTTCGTTACCCCCCCCCCCGTACCGGGTATCCGTAAATGGATTCCCCAGTGTTAAAAAAAAGGGTGCGTGTACGCGCGTAAGAAGTTATACTTTATTTTTATTACATTTATTTCTTTTTTTTTATTTAAATTTTAATCAATTTGAAAAAAAAAAAAGGTTAAACAACATCCTCAAACACGCATATTGGACATCCCTTTTGTTGACATCGTATAAATTCGGTAATTCTCGTTACGGTTCGGAAAGTTCACCTGCGGCTATATTCAGACTCGCCAAGTTACGTCGGTGGTATTGTAATGAGCGTAATGTAAAATTTCACTCTCATCAATTTTTCATAACGCGCCTAAAGAAGTATTACTTTAAAAAAAAAAGGGCTACAAAAGCCGCAGTCACCTATCGGCAGCTTGGCCAGGATGGTCCCGAGCGGCGTGAGCGCGTCCTCGGCGTCCAGACAGCCCAGCTCGCGGAGCAGAGCCTCCGCCTCGATGACAGCGTCCAGCGGCGGGGGCTCCGGGGCCTTCGACAGGAAGTGACCGATCGCACCCAGGCGGAGGAGCTTTATGCTGTCAATTAACATTCACACATTAAACAAACAAATTATAGAGCACCAGTGGTAGGATCTCTTGTGAGTCCGCGCGGCCCTGCCCATTTCTGCCATGAGGCAGTAACGCGTTTCGGTTTGAAGAGCGCGGCAGCCGTTGTAACTATACTGAGATCTTAAAAGTCATATCTCAAGCTGGGTGGCGCATTCATGATCTGGAGCTTAGACAATCAGCTTAGGTGGAAAAAAAAGTTTTTTTTTTTTACTTTTTTATTACTTAGATGGGTGGACGAGCACACAGCCCACCTGGTGTTAAGTGGTTACTGAAGCCCATAGACATATACAAAGTAAATGCCGCCATCCACCTTGAGATATGAGTTCTAAGTTCCCAGTATAGCTACAACGGCTGCCCCACCCTTCAAACCGAATTGCATTACTGCTTCACAGCAGAAATAGGCGGGGTGGTGGTACCTACCCATGCGGTCTCACAAGAGGTCCTACCACCAGTAATTACGCAATTTATAATTTTGCGGGTTTGATTTTTATACGATATTATTCCTTCACCGCAGAAGCCATCATGAACATTTGTTAAGTACGTATTTCATTAGAAAAATTGATACCCGCCTGCGGGATTCGAACACCGGTGCATCGCTACAAACTAATGCACCGGACGTCTTATGCTTTAGGCCACGACAACTTCAGAACTTGAGACAGCTGTAGGCAGTGGCTTGGCTCTGCCCCTGTCATTGCTGAAGTCTATGGGCGACGGTAACCACTCACCATCAGGTGGGCCGTATGCTCGTCTGCCTACAAGGGCAATAAAAAAATTAAAAAAAGACTACCTCAAAGCAAGCTCGTGTAGCGGAGTCCTAAACATTTCGGCGGCCAAATGTTCTTCAAGTTTCTCGTAGCGCGCGTACGTGCACAGCGTGAAGCACACGCCGGGCCGCACGCGTCCCGCACGCCCCTTGCGCTGTAACAAATAATATGATATTACCTTCACTTATTTTTTAAGACATTAATTTTTTTATTTACACACGGACCATTTGTTGCTCAGAGATCAATGGGGTCCATAGAGATTACCGCCATCCACTTTGAAACTGAAGAACGAAGTCTCAATAGAATTGTATAGTAACCGTTGCACCTTCCACAGCGGGGTGAACGACTACTTCGGGACATAAAGAAACAGGCGATAGTACCTGTTTATTTATTTTTTCGAGTGCTCTTATCTAATAAGTCACGTTTTCATTTAAAATCCACTAAATCCACTAAGGCGACCTTTAACTTAACTTTGATCCGATTGCCTTTAAGTACATTACATTACCCGCTAGTCTAATCTCAAGACTTCTAGAAAGTTTCATCGATATCGGTCCAGCTATTTCATAGTCTGTACGGAACACACGCACGTACGCAAGCACGCCCATACAGCAGGGGAGCAGGGGTCGGCAATCTGTTTGTCTTTAAGGGCGCAATACTAAATTTGAAAATCACCAAGAGCGCATATTTTACATACAATCAACAGGTATATAAATAGGCATTAAAAAACAGATTTTTTATGATTTTATTTTGTTGGTATCATCCATAATGATACATATAATTCAGTGTGAAACTTGGGTGTCCATATTTTCAACTAGTTTCTTATAATTGGGGATATATTTAGAGTTCCCGGTCCTTAAGCAATTATGTAAATGTGAGTCATTAAGCTTTGTTTGGTATTGAAAGAAAATAATTATTTCGGATTACTTGGTAGTTTTAAATGCACGGTCTACGGGTGGTCTATCCGAAATACGATCACATACTTACAAAAAATTCGTTGCCTGTTATTAGATACGCTCAAGGTTAGCAAACTGCTAATCTATACACTATCCTAAGCTCAACTGATTACTTACTGTATATCGCCGTTTGACAAGAGTAAGTAAATCGTTCTGGCTATCATACATTTACATTAGTCCAGCGAGGGTGCATTAAAAATCGATTGGGGGCGCCATTGCGCCCGCGAGCGTCGCGTTGCCGACCCCTGCACTAAAGTATTTCGTAATTTCAAAGCCGACTCACCTGTTCGAGGTTGGTCTTGCTGGCCCAGACGGTGGCGTATGACGTCATGTTGTTGTGTGACGTGAACAGCTTCATTTTCGCCTTGCACGAGTCGATGACGTACACCACGTCGTTGATGGTTATCGAAGTCTCCGCTATGTTAGTCGACAGGATCACCTGTATAATCATATCGAATAATTATACATTGACGTCTCAAGATCTAGATTCCTTTCATATATTACATTTTCTCATAAAGAAAACAGTTCTAGATTTATTTTTGTCTAGTTCGGAGATTCCTGAAGCGGTCGACTCTCTCACACACACGATAACTTATTCAACGGCAATGTTTCTAAATTGTATTGTATTGACAGTCAGAAAAAAATTACTTTGTGGATCCCGGGCATATAAACGAGTTCTCACCCCACCTGATTGTTAAGTGTTAGACATGACAACGTGCATACTGCGAACTGGGCTTTCAGTTTTTGTTATACATTTGTTGTTTGGTATCTATATAGCTTTAGTGTTATCCATTCAATTTTTACTAAGTTTTCTTTTTCATAAATTCAATCTCAAAACAAAACAGGAAACATACCTAATCCTTAAAACGAATCTAAATTTATTTTAGCCCATGACTATCGAGAGTGGAAAAACCAAGATCCTCAGAGATGATGACAAAAATTTTAAAGTTTTTTCGATTATTCTCGCGTTTTGTTTATTGTCATTACGTTATTTCCGACGTTTTGAATACTTTACAGTTTACGTGGTCGTGGACGACTAAGGTGTTGACCGTCGACACTTAAATATTGTGATAGCTAGCGAATAGGTTTTTATAAAAAATAAAAGTCCGGCAATAATTTACACAGTGACAATAAAGTAGTTTTAATCATTTCAACGATTCAACGGAAGAAAAAAGTAAATATTATATTTTAGGAAACATATCGTTACGCCGGTAAGAGTAACGCCATCTATCGCCGAATATCCGAACAAATATCGAAGGATCTAGCAACATCTAGAACGCTCGAGGAGTACAACGCCACCTATTGTCAGAAACACACAATACTCGACTTTTGTGGAATATTCTCGACGATTCTAGGGATTTCGTCTCGACTAGAAAAGCGTTGCAGATGGCACGCAGTTAGTTAGTAATCGGAACTACTCGAAGCGAAACAGCGAACGGATCACCTGAAGCGAAGCGGAAAAAGCGAATTGAGAATTTTAAAGTGTTTGTGAAGTGTTTTAAATCTTCTAAGTTCAGCTAATACAGTTGTAAGTTGTACTTCGGTAGATTTTTTTTATTTGTCCTGAACCCCAGCGCGTATTTAAACAGTATTTTTATAGCTGATATTGTTATCTGTACTTACTTTAGTGATCCCTTCCGGTGGGGTAATGAACACTTTCTTTTGATCCTCCCTCGGTATTTGACTGTGCAGAGGCAGTATAACGTATTTTGATGGATCTCCAAAGAGTCTGTGCTGCAACAGGTGCTTCATCAGCGCGAAGATGAGGTTCCACCCGGGGAGGAACACGAGGACAGCGCCGTCGCCTCCCAGTCCATCGATGTACATGAGGATCGCTTGGACCAACTCGAAGCTGAACTGTGGAAGTAATAATTGTTATTAATTACTAGCTGACCCGGCAGACTTCGTAGTGCCTCCATCGATAAATAAAAGACGTAAACTTTTGTATAAAATAAACTTAAAACAAACAAAAGGAATCCGTCCGGAAAATTGTTATTTTTATTTAATTCTGAGCATTTTCATATTTATCTACCTTTTAAACCTTCTCTGGACTTCCACAAATAATTCAAGACCAAAATTAGCCAAATCGGTCCAGTCGTTTTCGAGTTTTAGCGAGACTAACGAACAGCAATTCATTTTTATATATAGAGATTAACCTTAATTCTTGTTCGTGTTTTTGGGAAATTTAATCTTCATAACGCAGTATGCGAAGGTATTAACTGAATAATATGTGTACTAGTGAAAGCTGATTGAAGTGCATTCTGTGACCCCGGAAGTCAAAGCGAGGGTAGATGGCGAACACTCCCCGCTAGATTCACGAGGTCATTAACCTCACACGAACAACTGATATTTAATGTGTTAACATTGCATGCAGTGCACAGTATTTTTCATCTTCGAGAACTTGTGCTTTTTAATACTATTGAATCAAGATTCATCTCTTATCAGCATTATCTGTCTTTGCTTACGAGAACGGTTTGCTTATATGTATCTACTTGCAAGCATATCATAACCTATTCAAAAGGAAACTGAAAAGGATCGCTTTGGAGTCTTTGCTACATGTTAACCTCGGGTAGTAGCACTGTAAATATTCACGTTGTTGATGTCCATGGGCTCTTAGTACAAGTGAAAGCCGCCAATCCGCCAAATATTCCTTACTCACATCTCTCTCGGACAACTGTTGTAAAGCGTCCACTGTGGCTTGAGAGTATCCGTCTCCCAAACTGCATTGCTTGTTCAAATCTTCGTAAGGCTCATCCAAATCTAAGACAAAGATTAAATATTCCAATAATATATAATTAATATGTACCAAAATACATAACTTGTATTTTCAACCAAAATAAAAAGAGACAGCACTTATAACACCGAAAGGCTAATTAGGCTTCAAATGGCAATATAATGCAGTTTTTTTATAGACACCTAACAGGGAATTTAAACTAGGATTTTTCATTCCGTGATGTATTTGATTAAATGCGGTAAGACAAGTAATACTCATATAATTCACGTATAAGTACATAACAGCATAAGGCACACAGTACAGACGGTAGGCAGCGGCTTAGCTCTGCCCCTGGCATTGCTGACGTGTTTGGGCGACGGTATCCACTCATCATCAAGTGGGCCGTATGCTCCTTTCCTTACAAGGGACATTATAAAAAATAAAACAATTCACACAATTTCGCTCCTCACATTCTCACCAAATAGTTCAGTAACTTGTTACGTCGTAACAAAATACTAAAATATGAAATTAATACAAAATATAATTACACACAAACCAACAAAACAACTGGTTATTACAATCAATGAAAACCTCGCGCTTTAACTAGTGATAGCTTCTTAATGACCATATAAGTACTGTATATAACAAACTACAAAACGTAGTTATGCGGAGTCTCCCGATTAGGTTTTTAAAAAAGTTTTTTTAAAAAAGAAAAGAGATTAAAAATTCCCATCCAACCATCCCTTAGAATTGTATCCTAAGGGTAACATAACGTAAACTCACTTATTTAATCGTGTAGTTTACTCTAAGTCGGGGGGCTGTTACAGACTCCCCATGTTAGTTAAAGTGATGTTACATCCTTTTTAATAACCACTGATGCTGAGTAAGTATAGTAAGAAATCTCTTAGTAATAGTTACCGACCGAGAGTCACTCAATCGTATTTAGTCACCCATCGGGAGCGGTCTTAGGCAATATCTCCTTTCTGTCAATTTCTATAATTTAATTGTTCGTGTAATTGAATTAATAAAAGTGAAATCTCCTTTCAAATTTCTTTTTTAAAAACCTAATCGGGAGACCCCGCATAACAGTACGTAATAAACTACAAAACTTTTTTTTTTTTTTTTTTTTTTTATTGCTTAGATGGGTGGACGAGCTCACAGCCCACCTGATGTTAAGTGGTTACTGGAGCCCATAGACATCCACAAAGTAAATGCGCCACCCACCTTGAGATACAAGTTCTAAGGTCTCAAGTATAGTTACAACGGCTGCCCCGCCCTTCAAACCGAAACGCATTACTGCTTCACGGCAGAAATATGCAGAGTGGTGGTACCCACCGGCGCGGACTCACAAGAGGTCCTACCACCAGTAAATAACCGTTGTGTTATTGAAATAGTTATGTACCATCCTCGTCGTCATCATCTTCGTCGTCTTTATTCGCTCGTTTTCCTGTAGATTTTCGTTTCCTAGTGATCGGCGGGGGCATGAACTTGGTCAGCTCTATCGAGTCTTCCAAGAAGTACTGCGTTACTGGATACGTTCGACCTGGCACCTGTCATAAAAACATTATTCATTTATATCATTATTTTATACTAGCTGTACCTGTCCGCTTCGCTGGGCATTTAAAATTTACATTATTATTTCTCACCCCCACAAAGATTCCCATCATTAACGCCCCCGCAACTGTTGTAGGCAATCCACCACTCATATAAATATTAGCCTATCCATTAAGTACATGTATTTTCTACACGGATACCAAGTTTCAAGTCAATCGGATGCATGGTTCAGTAGTTATAACGGAACATCCGTAAAAAAAACAGCGTAGTTTTATATATTAGTATAAATTATTTATTAAGTTTACTAGATATTTGTTAACACAATTTTAGTTTAATCACAGTATGTCAAGTATTTTATCATGTGATATATGGTTCAAAACTAGACATATACCGATGAATTCTTTAAGTTACCGTGTGTTGCTTTTGAACTATGATGAGTACTTACTACATTAATGTGACTTTTTATTCACTTCTCGAATCAAAATAAGTAACATTGTAGATAATTTATTTTTTAGTATCACCGCAAGTTTGTGATCGTACATAAAATATATTGTTTATACAGTGTAATAGGCAGACTTAGACTTAACACTGTTTACAGGTTAATGTTTACCGGATTTTATTAACACCCTCAATATAAGTCTCAGATGGCTGTGTAATTATTAGTCTGCTCTTAGATGGTAATATATGCTTCTCATTAGTTATGTCACAACTGAAAAACTATCGGTTCTTTTTCTCTTGTTTTTTTTTTTTGCTTTGATGGGTGGAACAGCTCACAGCTCACCTGGTGTTAAGTGGTTGCTGGAGCCCATAGATACCTACAACGTACAACCCCCACCCACCACAAAGTAAATGCACCACCCACCTTGAGATATAAGTTCTAAGGTCTCAGTATAGTTACAACGGCTGCCCCACCCTTCAAACCGAAACGCATTACTGCTTCACGGCAGAAATAGGCAGGGTGGTGGTATCTACCCGTGCGGACTCACAAGAGGTTCTCCTGCTTTACCTCAATGACTGGACAGCCTCCGAAGTACTTGACGAACAGCGTGGTGTCGACCGTGGCCGACATGAGAATGATGCGCAGGTCGGGGTAGGTGTGGGCCATGTCTCGCAGCAAGATCAGAGCAAAGTCCGTATCGGCATCGCGTTCGTGTACCTATTCATTTAAATTAAAAGTATTATACCCAATCTATATATTTATACGTGAAGCAAAAACTTTGTACCCCTTTTTACGAAAATGGCATGGACGAAGGAGTATGAAATTTCCCACATTTATAAAGAATATAGAGAAGCAATGCAGAAAGCTAATTATTATTTAATTTTAGCTAATTATTATTTAATTTTAAATTATTATTAAATTAAGCTAATTATGAATAAAAAAAAACATAAATTCAATTTAAAAAAACATTACGCATATTACCATGTATTTGACACACATACACACACATATATACTCTTTTGTTTTTTATTAAAGTCTGTGGTCAAATTGAGAATAGATCAATATTGTTTTTCTTTAATTTTATTTGTCTATGGTGTAGTCTTGGCGAAATTTATGAATAAACAAGTATAATAATTTAATACTTTAATAATAGAACCAAAATAATCTTCAAACTTATAATTATAACATAAACATATAATTGTAATAATTAAAAGTTAAATCTGTCCGAAACATAAGGTTGGTTAACATTTTTAACATTGGATAATTTGAATAAATTTCTAGTACTTGTTTTAGCAGAATAAAAATTATGACAATTCATACCTCGTCGACTAAAACGTGGCTGACACCCCTCAGACCGCCTTCCAGTTTCCTCAGCAGCACCCCGACGGTACAGAACATGATTGACCCATAAGGCCGCGGTAGCACTGACTCGAAACGCACTGAATACCTAAAACACAACGGAAGTTTTAGCAATTTATAGAACTTTAATATTATGGGGTTTTTTTTTTTACCATGTGGTTTGTTATTTAATTCTCGCACTAGCGTGAAACTCTCACTCAGAATTAATAAGTCAAACACACTATTTAATAAATACTTATAATGTTTTGGATGTGTCAAATATTATAATATTAACAGGACAGGAGAAAACGCTAGAAACTAGACGATACTAATTATATTAGGTTGGGGAAAAGTTTCTTCGCATTTTTAAAGAAAATTCACAACATTTCTCTATATAGTTTATTTACATTTAACTAAAGGATGTAGGTACCATTTTGTTCGATAACTTTTTGCCATCTTGTAGGTAGGGACATGTTCCCATTGCTACAGAAATTTTGGGGCTTCTGATCAAAATACCGCGACAATTTGTTTTGGCAGGCCTCTCGTGATGTTAACCTGACACTGCCTAAATAATTCTGAAGAGACCGAAACAGGTGAAAAACTGAAGGTGCAAGGTCAGGACTATATGGCGATCCGCCATATGCATCCGCATTAACACCTCCCAGCTAAGCTTTCTTAAATTTTGCTGAGTGGCTAAAGATGTGTGAGGTTGAGTGAGGATATCTATCTGTTTGAGGCTTTTTTAGCGTAACCTTAACTAGTAGGTGAGCTCACGGGGCTCAAACCTGACGACGTTGCTAACACGAACCCTAGTAAGAGTCGTGCTTCGCAGAATCTACCACCGGATCGGAAACGCGACACACTGAGAAGATCCGGCAAGAAACTCAGTGGGCTGGGTTTGAGGGGGTACATACCCGACGGTGTTCCCGAGCTCTTCGCACCTCTCAGCCGCGACGCGCTCGGCGACGCTGACGGCGGAGATGCGGCGCGGCTGCGTCACGCACACGTTGGCCCACGCGCCCTGACCGCTCGCTATGTAGTCGTCCAGGATGAACTGGCACACCTGCACACCGGACACGTTACAAATCACGGTCTATAACTTTTGGGAACTTCGTTCCCAAACTTATCGCGCGTTGCGAAAGGGGGCTAGACGAAAAAAAATTAGGACCAAAAGTTGTAACGACACTTTTTGCTATAGTTGTGCGCGTGTTTCTCTGTCTGTCTCTCTCTCATAGAAAGCAATCCAGTTATTTTCGCATTGAACAGTGTGGTGTCGCGACGATTATTTTTGTTGAGTGTATACAGGTTTTTTGTTAATAATAAATAATAAAAAATATTATTATAACTTAAAAAAAAATTACAATTCCTACACTAATTAATTGAAAGGAACTTCGTTCCATCCGGGTGTCCCTTGACACCTCTCAAGTGTTCTTCTTTTTTTTTGGGCCGTGGGCAGTACTTTAGCCGCGGTCCCACGCGGGGTATATGGGGCCGGACGGTCCGCTGATTTTATGTTAAGTTCACTCCGCTGCACTCTGGCAAGCATTTTTTTTCTATCTATGCTGATAGCCTTGAGAGGCTACTTTAGCTTCGCCTTGACGTGTAGGTGAGCTCACGGGGCTCAAACCGGGAGTGTGGCTAACACTGACCCTAGCAAGAGCAGTGCTTCGCAGAATCTACCACCGGATCGGGAACGCGACCCACTGAGAAGATCCGGAGAGAAGCTCAGTGAGCTGTGTCTATGGGTTAATTTACTCGTCGAGCACTTCGGACTTTTTGGCGGGAACGCGACGAGTGACGTTGTGTGATTTGTTTTATTTCGTCTATTTAGTGTTTCTTCAGGTTTAAATAACGGTGATTTATTAACTGTTTAATATCTTTGAAAGTGCACAAATGTGGGAAAATGAAACAAGGCCGCTAGACATAACTTCTCGGAATCCTCCAAAAAGTCCACTGAAAAAAATCTCAGTAAATGACCACCATTTTACTGAGATTATATTCCATCCTATATCATCTCATCTGAATACATTTCATTTCATAAAATAAGACTTGACCTAAAGGTCGTAGTTACCAGGTTAAAAAATCCCTTAAAACAGACACATTACAAATCAGGTTTTTAAAAGCTTTTTTTTTGGGCCATGAGTAGAACTGTACACGAGGTCCCGCGCAGCGTAATATGGGACTTGACGGTCCACACATGTTGGAAGCGGACCGAGGGTCAGAGGAATAGAATTAAGGACCCTACCCACTAAGCGACTCCGATGCTCTCTCGCCCAAGCGTGCGATCATTCCAGGGCGGAGTAAGTGGACTACCGCTGTCAACGCGGTCGCAATAAAAACAAGTAGAACAATCGTATGAGATAAGATCATTGATAGGGTTCATCTCTCAAACGAAAAATTGGTGCGGTGGCATTGAGATATTTTTCCTCAGTCTTATTCCAGGTGTGCTTTTTGAAAGCAACTTATGCATATTTTGTTGCTTAAAGGAAAACAATCTTGAGGCCCACTTGGTAATAAGTTGTTGCAGATGATTTTACGTGCGAACTCTTCGGTTTTTATAACGCAGATAAACTAACCTGTGTAGTTTTACCGCAGCCAGTATTACCACGGATGATGATCACAGGGTTCTCGTTGATCGCTTCCATTATCTGTGATTTCATGGAGAACACCGGCAAATGTTCTCTTTCATTGAGGCTTTCCTATAATATAAACATAATTAAGTTAGGATTTAATAAAGCTTTTCCTGTACACAAGAGTAAATAGGTACAACTATCTTCTATATCATTGCCACTGTCAATATAAAACCAATAAGAATCCAACAGTCACAAGCTTCACGTCCATGTATTCCACAAGATTATCGCCACACCTCAGTTTTAAATTATTTTAATCCTTTTTAGCTTAGACCAGCGAGGCTACCTCTACAAAAACTAAGAAGCCAAGTGATTATGACTTGATATAAAAAAATATATATTTAGACATCTTGTTAGGAGTATTGTTTTTATTAATCTAAGAAAAATAAATAGAGCTATTGTAACTTTGTAAACACTATTGTAAATTAATCCTGAAACTGTTAGGATCATTTTATTTAAATAACAGAACCATAAATAAAAAGTTAAATTGATAACATATATTATCAAGGTATGATTAAAATATATTTATTTATGAACCATTCTCATCCACATCATTTATATGAATATTATGACAGTAGTCAGACTATTGACTTGTAAAATAATTCATGACTTAAATACTACTAGCTTTCATGAGTATCATAATCATTTTTTTTACTTCTGCTCTGACAAAGACGCACGCAGAAACCGTCATTACTTGATTGATCGTGAGTAGAAGCATGTAGAACGACGTTCACTCTAAATAAAGCAATTTATGTACCACGTATAAAAAAAAAGGTGAGGCCTATATGAAATTGTAGTAATAAAAAAAAGTGTAACAAGTGTCATGTACAAATGCTGTGCTGAAGATTTGAGCCACGGCACCATTAAAAAAAAAGTGCGCGTGCAACTTGGTGCACGGGAATGAAGTTAGACTTCTTTTTCGATGTGTAGTATTGTGGCTCTTGTAATAGGGAATGCTGTGTATAAGAGATACGATATCTTCAACATTTATATTATATATAGGTATTTTAAATTATAGATAGAAAAATAATATATATTATAATATTGGACGCTACTCGTTGCTAACGCTCGCGCTGGCCCGTAACTGGTATACTACGCGCATGCGCTCGAGTGACGCGCATTCACTCTCGCTCTGTCTCTTTCTATTCCATGTAGTGTTAAACTTTTAACACTTGTTGGAAGTCGCATTAGAAGTTTCACTTCAAAAAACTGGACCCGTGTTCAAACGCATTAGAAGTTTCACTTCAAAAAACTGGACCCGTGTTCAAATGACGTGCTCACAACCAGCTTTGATAATAACCTTTTAACATTGATAGTTTATTTTAAGACGCTAGTCATATAGCAGATGCTTAACTATATATTACCTGGTACAATTTGCTATTCTGACAAATATTCCTGTGACATTTCTCCAGGTCAGCGCTAATCTCGTCCATGGAGGCAGTTGCTAAAGCGCCCTCGTCTACAAAAAATTGTGTGAGTCAACATGTTTGTTTGTATGGGTCAGAATTTTTACTTTACTCTCTATGTATAGTATTAATCGGTTTTCATGTGAATGTATTACATCGTCTCAAACTTTTTCGTCTGTGTGTTGCATGTCGCGTGATGATCGGCCGCGGAGTAGCCAGAGCAGCCAAGGCCAATATGGCGGCGCCTATAGTTCGCAGCAGCTGACCGTGTAGTGTATAAGTTATTACTCATTTGTGCCAGTGCTCTACGCTATTTTGTTTGTTTTTGTCAGTGTTTAATGTGAATGTTGTTTGTCAGAGTTAAATGTCTATAACGTGAAACAAAGTTTCACTTTTACCGTGGTTTCATAAAACCACACAATCCTTTTTTTTGTTTTTCTCACCGATGTTACACCCTGTCCAAGCGTTCCAATTCGGCTGCGGAGGAGACCACGTCACAACACCAGCCGGCATAGGCTTTGCTTCTCTCATAGCCTTCGCGCGATCTTTTTGCAACAGAGTCACAGCACTCCCCTCTTGGTTATCTTGGCTTGGTGCGTCGACATTAACTGGCTCGATTTCTAATTCTAAAATATGAAATAGAAGAAACATTTAAGTTTCAAAAAAAATAATACCAAAACAGTTGAAATATTTCAAGTTTAACAACGAACCTTGTAAGGTATCTTCTAATTGTTGTTCAAGTTCCGGGCATATAGCAACTGGATATGGTTTCATAATACCCTCTGAGGATCTGAAATTGTTAAAAACAATTACAATTACCGTAGTTTGTTATGTTATGATTTAAGAACGTCTAACGAAAGACAATTAACAATCTGGGACCACTCATGATCTTCCAACTTTTTTTTTATTACCTGTCCCTTTTTAGCGTACCGCTGTATGCCTCAATGACTCCAAGATGGTATAGCTGTCTCACGATCGACAGTGCACATGATTTGCTGGCGGTTTGCTTGTTTGAGGCGGTCTCCCGACCGGTGACATTGCGTCCCAATTGACTCACATATATTGTTAGCTCACAGGCGAAACTCCTACAAAAATATTCGTATTATTTTAATATTCTACGAATCGTTAGCAGTGTCTTCATGGCACTCTCAGTTCAATGTAGCAGCCCACATAGTTAGAAGCGAGGCATGCTGTGATTACTAATTTCTATACCTAGTACCTACTAACTTCTAATACCTAGGTATATAATGAAAAAAAAAGGACAGAATAATTAAAAGTGAGATGTACGTTATTATTAAAAGAAAATAGCAAAAACTCTATTCGATCCTAATGAGCCATATTTATCAATGAGCAGGCATAAAACTTGATAAAAAATATATACATATACGAACAATACGCTAGGTTAATAAAAATAATAATTCTGAAACCTGCATCATTGCTCTTAAAACATGAATATCGACAATGTTTAAGGTTACACACAAAGAGTACCTAGTCGAAGCCAGTACGTGCTCAAATGTACTACCTCTTCTTCGTCTTTCTCTCACTGCTGACGATCGCGACCACATGTAACTTTCCTCCATAGTGTTCGGTCATGGGTGACATAGACCGCATTGTATAGGCTACCAACCGCTTTCTTAACCAGATCTCACCTTCTGGCTGGTGTACTACCTATGGCCCGCCTGCCTATTCTATCTTGGACTACCTAGTACCTACACGTATCTATATGCCGGCGGCCACATTTTTACCAACGTCAACTCAAGATGGTGTTTATCGAATATCATAACCCAAAGTTATGTCCGATTATGATGAATATGCCTATCTTCTATAGCAGAAATAAGCGTCGACAGAACCCATCCGCACGGGTTCGCAACTTGTATGTCAATGACCGCGATCTCAGTTTATTGACCTGATATTCAGCTGTTTGCAGTAGCTGTTTTGACTTTTCTTAGTTTATATTTGACCTTAGTTTTATAAAATTATAGCATGTTAAAAAAGCAGATTTATGTAGCCACCAAATAAAAACTCATGAATCAGACAGGGTTTTCGTTATTTACTAAAATTTCTTACCTATTTATTATGTAGCCAATCAGAGTTTTACTCTTCATTAAATAGAAAATGTTACTAATTATAATTTAATCTTTATTTAATCTCATGAAAACAAAATACCTAAGTCCAAACCTGCCTCACAAGATGTATTAAGGAAATACTATGTTGCATGCTCTAAAACATATCACAACTTACCTTTGTTTAGATGTAATGACCCATACATTCCAGAACCGTGGCCAATCATTGTGACTTTCTCAATGAGCACACCTGAATTCAGAAAATATCCAAGACTCAATATCGTTCGTTAACGTTGTGTAATGCCACTTTTTTTTTGTTTTTGTTTCAAAATAATTGGATTTTTGAGAGAAAACAATTGGATGAGTATGGGACTTAGTTACATAATAAGCAAATATCTGGGAATTTATACACACGGTTGAGAAAGAGGCACAAAAAATTACACAGTGTAGATAGCTGATAAAAGTGCTCTAAATTATAATTAATGGTTCCGAGCTCAGCTTGCCCCTACTATCAATTTAATTAACAAGTGTTAAGGAAACAAAACAATCTAAATTTATGTACAACATACATACACAGTAATTTATTTATCAGGTATTATTTTCATGAGCCTTCATAGTAATACGTCCAACCACAGCTTCATTGTATAAAGTAGTGTTTGGCTATCCAATACAGATATTATTATGAGGGCCACTGAAGTTCAGTGTCAATTACTGTGTGGGATTACGTTCAATCTTTTAGTCTTGGATAGTCTTTTTGTCTTGGATATTTTCTGCAGGTTTTGCTCTTCTTATTTGAAAAATCTGCTGAAGCTAACTTTGCATCTATCACAAAGGGTAGCTTCATATTCTGATAAAATATTAGTCTTTGTTTTTTCAATTATTGATTATCCTTATCACAAAGACAGGGTAACAATTGTATGCTGTAATAATTATGTTAATAATACTTTACGTACTGAAAATCATTGCTTCAAAAAACCTATTAATTGCACGAAGACATCTTTTTTGCATTCTATTCTATCAGCCTACAGACATTCACTGCTGGACATAGCACATTTGATAGCTATCAGAACTTTCAATGAAATGAAAATTATTCTTTTGGTCGTTTCACATTCCCTTGGTAAAACATTGCTCGGGCGTCTCCTCCGAGGAGATTTGTGAACCATTATTATGACAGTATGACAAACATACGAACTCTCCAGGGTATAACGGATTCACGTCTCGACATTTGTACAAAAATGCCACCACCTTTAGACAGGAGACTAAAGCCTAAACTTAAATACAAGTTACACTAATGCAAATGACTGTGGTCAATACAGTACACAAATGCTTTAGATCCTAGGTGAACCATGTTATGATGTCATAGGAGAGTACCCATAGCATAATGTTAAAATATTAAGGTAATTGAAGTTTTTACTTCTATTCTAATTCTTCTTCTAATTTTGGCCATATAGAAGTGGGCCAAGTAGAATTAACAGCATACAAATGTAAATCCTCATGCCAAGTGAGTAGAGGTTATAAAATTTAATCACACTTTATGTCGACAAAAGAGGTCACAACTTTCTTTTAAATTAGACAAAGTCAATTTTACACTACGACATTATTCCATTCAAGGAATGGGATAATGTCTGTTTGACCACAGTTCTGGTTTGTAACAAACATTCTTGCCAATGATTTTTCAATCTTTATGAATAACCAGTGGCAGTATAAAATATTGAAGATATAAACTAGTATGCAAGAATAAAAACAGACGTGATGTGTGCAACTACTTATATGTTTTCTAACAAAAATCAAAAGCTTGATAATGAAATATGAATGTTGTTTAAGAAATACGCAATCGTAGAATAAAGTGCAAACAAGACAAGAATATTTCAATCATATTATACAGATATGTTAACATATTAAAAATATGATGAAAAATTATCCGTATTTACGTTAAATAATCATTTAACATAGTTATGAGGCTTTAGTTTTACATTTGAATATCACATCGACCTGAATGCACAGCTGCTCAGAGATAGGCTGGCTTTCTGATGTAGATATTGGACACATTAAGCCAGGTTCACATTCTGCATTCAATGACTAGATTTCTGTATCAGATATTTCACATTCTTGTTGTCTGACACCTGTGTGATTAACATATTTGAATGTGACTAATTAATTATCTGAATACCTGATACAGAAATATAATCAAGGAATATAAGAGTTTGGCACCGAGCTGAAAGTGTCCAAAATTTACCTATATCAGAAAGCCTTCATGTGACAAATGAAAGTGCTGTACTATAAACTTCAGGACTTTATAGTACAGCACTACATACACAGTAATATACTCATACTCCAGCTGTAGGCTAGACTTAGCTATGACCCAGGCATTGCTAATGTCCATGAGTGATGTTGATTACTTACTATCAAGTGTGCTATGTGATCTAACTACAATGGGAATAAATCCTTTCAATAATTATTCATGTGCCTCTAAAAACTTAAACCATTCTAAGACACTGCTGTTCAAATCTGAAGATGCTGTTATATGCTGTTATCAATATTTGTATAGGATGTAGACTAACAAGATGACAATGTGCATTAACTCTATTTTTCTGTTTAAACTCAGATATTATTATAATTACAACCTGAAATCCTGAAATTATGGATTCTTGAATCTTTATGGATATGAATCATTCTTCATTGTCAGTCCAACACAACTTTGGAAATAATTTTCATATCAAGATCAAGATATTTTATAAATCAACATACAGTGATCACAGATTAAGTATAACTGGGACCACATTCTATTCCTAATGTTATTGCATTTAGTGCATAACATTAGGAATAGTTGTCCTATTGTAGTTATATCCTGCTAATCTTATTCAAATTGTTAATCAATTTTGAAAGATAAATACAAAACATGGTTACCTTTATAAAACTACTTTTATTATGACTTAGCATTAGCAATTTTTAGTGTCATATTATTTCATACTTTTTGAATGCTTTACAGTTTTTATGGTCATAAGCACATTGCTTCTATGGCATACTTTTAATTGTATAGCCTATGCAATTAAAACTAATACTATCATAACAACCACTGCTAATTAGACTCTTTTGTTGGAGATAGGTTTTTATTAAACCAGCATTTGGTACTATACAAATGCTTTGAAATTAATGATTACACTTTTATTAGATATCTTATACAAACCGTGTATGATCAGGTCCAACTGCTTTGTAAACATAGTCTGCATTTATTTTATTCATCTGTAAAAACTGATGAAGTTTTGACTTAGCATTCTCCATTGTCCAGTTGCCATGGAGACTGGAGTTTATGTCCAGATCTTCAGCTTCTTCAACATTTTTCTGTTGTTGCATGCGATCTATGTATGAAAATTTCTTGTCATTTTCACCTCCATAAGCTTGGTACGCTGGTCCTATAACTTCTGGACCCATTCCATCCTGAAAATTTGTAATCACTCCCATAAGAAAGTATGTAGTTTTCTCAAGCTAGTTAGATACCTAAATCTCTTAATTTTCTCAAGTTGCAGTCTACCTTGTAACAGAATGATTATCGAAGCTATAAACTAATATTTATTTAAACACCATTGAAAACCTATGAAACATTCAGTAAGTCATTTTACTCATGGTCTTAATCATACATTTATTGTTATTGAGGAATTATTCTTTTCGGTGTAGTTTGCCTCCACAATTATAAAAATGAATACAATAAGTTCAAATAATTAAACACAAGGAAACTTTTGATTAAAACATCACCTGAAAGACTTGCTTAGGTTGTTGACCACCATTATTCTCGACAGATTCTTCATTAGTAGATTCCTCAATTGNTTTACTCATGGTCTTAATCATACATTTATTGTTATTGAGGAATTATTCTTTTCGGTGTAGTTTGCCTCCACAATTATAAAAATGAATACAATAAGTTCAAATAATTAAACACAAGGAAACTTTTGATTAAAACATCACCTGAAAGACTTGCTTAGGTTGTTGACCACCATTATTCTCGACAGATTCTTCATTAGTAGATTCCTCAATTGCCTTTGCCTTCACATCTTCAGGAACATCAGCCTGTGGGATTTGCCCCGCTCTAACTAGATAACTAACAAAGTCCTTAGCGGCGTTCATCTGTGCATCTTTTTTGGTGGTAGAGTTTCCAGCTCCTAAATATGAAAATCCTTCGACGCGGACTTCGCACAGAAAGCGTTGGCGGTGTTTAGGACCTGCATAAATTCAGTCCAGGATAATGTATAATAATTATTGAATAATGTTAATTCTGGACAAATCAGTCATCATTAAAAACATTATAATTCAAATTTAATTGTACCTGTGGCCCGGATATCGAAAAGCGGAGTTAAGCCTTTCTTAGCACACCAAGTATATAAAAATGATTTAATATCCATTTTGAGCAGATACTTTGGGCGATATTCTTTCTAAATTATTATGTTGATTAGTTGTAGAAAGCGGTAGAAACTTAAACTCAATTAAAGCCGCACCAAATGAATTAACTCCGGCCAGCCACACACAACAAATGTCAATGGCGTCAAATCAAAATGTGATTTTTAAACTTTTTTTTTAACGGATTTATGACCTGGTAACTAAGACTTTTACGTCATGTCTTATTTTAATTTATTCATAATTTTATGAAAAATGATACATGGAGTGTAATGAAATGAAATGAAGATGTTTAATTTGAGACATTAATCATCTGGGATGAAAATAAATGAAATGAAATGAGATGATATAGGATGAATATAATCTCAATAAAATGGTGGTCTTTTATTGAAACTTTTTCAGTGGACTTTTTGTAAGATCCCGAGAAGTTACGTCCAGCGGCTTTGTTTTATTTTCCCACATATGTGCACTTTCAAAGATACTAAATAGTTAACAAACCACCGTTATTAAACATTTAAACCTGAAGAAACACTAAGTAGACTAAATAAAACAAATCACACCACTTCACTCCTCGCGTTCCCGCCAAAAAGTCCCATTTTTAGACTTTTTATTAGGTACTTTAGGTATTAATCTAGGTAGGTACCTAGTATTGATAAGAATTTCCTGTTGCAAGAAATCTTAATGTTACAACCAATCTTTCTTTTGGACTTATACTATCGTAGGATTAGATTTGTAATAGTTATATAATAGATATATAATAGACGTATATATCCTATATCGTAGGATAGTATCCTGCTTTTGAATAAACGGTGTCACAAGGTTTAATATTAGGTCAAACGAGATCGAATCCATTTGTAGATAATTTTTGAAGTCTGCTGGTTCTAAATCACTCATAATGTTCATATTTGCTAACATTCCGCACAGCAATAAATATTTCTTCACCGATATTCTTGTTTTTTTTTTGAGAAATTGAAACAAAAAACAAAAACAAAAATTTTGTTTTTTCTAGACAATACTGGGGCCTTAAGTGTATAATCTATGACTGGGGCCATCCTCTTACACCGGCCACTGCATGTGAGTGGCACGAATACGCAAACCCGCAAGTGAGGGACGACATTTGCAAATGATTATGCAAAGTTTTCGCTACATTCGCGGTTTTCAAAGCTGTGTCGGTTTTTTAACAGACATCAAACCGCGCGAACCTCGAACCTTCGCGTAGTCTCCCACACATTCGCTTGCCCAGTTGCGCCGATGATTGCGAAGGTAACGGACGTATCGCCATTTTCATAGTTCGTGACGTCTACTGTGTAGCGTATCTTCATCAAAAGAAATCCCATAAAAACACCATGGCTGTTAATGATGTCTGGGAAAGAATTCAAAACTCTTTTTCTTTTCAATGATCTATTGACGAATTAAAAAGGAGGTGAAATTCGTGAGACATTCGTAAACAAGTGTAGGAGGAAGCGCAAACGGGTTCGCAAATTGAGTATGCGAACCCATTTGCACAGCCGCTAGGTTTGCGAATGAATGTTTGACGGCCCTTCACATGCAAACGCAAACATTCGTACAATGTACGAATATTTGCGCGCATGTCAGTGGCCGGCATTACGCACACGACATCGACACGTCTTATGTAGTTCGTCACGTTTAAGCTGACAATTGATTCAGTATCTGATTTAGAAGTGTAACCAGAAGCTTCTAAATTTGCTTCTGAATTCAGTCGACTAAATTCAGCCAAATGTAATAAGCCTTTTAACTACCAATAACTAATCACCCACAACTAAAGATGCTCAAGTTCTTATGTGCAAAGAAACATAAAAATCGATAAATAATAATTTATGTACATACATTACAGGCCCATAGCCATAGCAAGATTGTATTTAAATTTCTAATTCAGTGTTTTCATTATTTTATTGACGGCTAGCTTGGCGCAAAAACTTTTTAGTCTAATCGATTTTTCATAATAAGAGAATATAGTCTAACAAATTTCTTTATTAAATATCGAAGCATAGGTACATACAACAAAAAGGATTTGTAATTTAACATTTGTATTATAGCTGAGATGGCTTGAGTTAAACACTTAAAAAAACATTAAAATATAAAGTTCACTTATCTGCGATGCAGCAGCTCGCGAACTAGTAATTATAAATTACATTACCTATCATAAATATGTTTTATTTTNTATAGTCTAACAAATTTCTTTATTAAATATCGAAGCATAGGTACATACAACAAAAAGGATTTGTAATTTAACATTTGTATTATAGCTGAGATGGCTTGAGTTAAACACTTAAAAAAACATTAAAATATAAAGTTCACTTATCTGCGATGCAGCAGCTCGCGAACTAGTAATTATAAATTACATTACCTATCATAAATATATTTTATTTTTAATAGGAACAAAATAAACCTTACGGTATCAAATAAAACTCTTTTAGTGATGTTCAGTCAAGGAATGTCTTAATGAACTTTAACAAAAAAGTCGGGATAGGGATGTGAAACTATAGTTTACATGTGACATTATGTAATTTGGTAAGCTAACGTGTATCGTTATAAATATATGTACCTACTATTTGTCTTGGAAAGAGTATTAAGATCTGAATATATTATGAGTATTGAATTTACGTTGTAGATGTCTATGGGCTCCAGTAACCAGTTAACACCAGGTGGGCTGTGAGCTCGTCCACCCAACTAAGAAAAAAAAAACGGCTAGTTCTATTTCGAGGTATGGTTTTAGAAATCGTCAGATTAGTCTAACGGTCGATCTTGACACGGCCACATAAGAAATATTACAATAAACTCAGTTTAAATATACAGTAACTTCAACTGTAGACAACCAAATAAAACTGCGGCTTGGAACTTGCTGATATTTAAAATATTTACAATATCGATGACGTTTTCAGAACTTGTCCAATCCCGCTTTGCTGGTTCTGCAAATGCCGCTTTGCTGACCGATTTTTTATTTGACTTTGTACCGATCACTACAGCCGTTTCCGAGTCTGTAGGATACGTATAATATATACAAACAAACATACATAAATACAAAGACACGTCGACTTTTATCTATACATATATAGATGATATTACTAAACGATGAGCCATCTAGTGACGGGCTAAATCCATCCCCGCAATACCCGCAGTTTTCGTTGTATTTTATCAATATAACTAGCGGCCCGCTCCGGCTCCGCTCGGGTCTTTAACAAAAATTTCAACGATACTTCACGTTGTTTTATTTTTTAAAATAAAAGAACACTTATTGCGGCATAACTATAATAGTTAGACATATGCTGTCGCGACACATATTGTAAATAATAATGTGTTCTACAAAGTCGTAGTACATTATTTTATTCTATAATCAATAGTTTTCGCAGGGCGCGCGATGTAAAGAATATTTTAGGTATTTTTGTTACACCTTAGGTTACGTTATTGGAGTTTTAGTAAGGACCCCTAATTTTTTTCAAAAAAGATTATAGCCTATGTCACTAAGAAATAGTGTAGCTTCCAAACAGTGAAAGAATTTTTTAAATCGGTTCAGTAGTTTCGGGGCCTATTCAATACAAACAAACAAACAAATCTTTCCTCTTTATAATATTATTAGTATAGATTATATGATAATGGCAATGGCGATACGCGCGAAATGTAAATTGAGATTGATTATATCTCCTTCCAAATTCAGACAACACTACGAAAATCAGTTTAAGGCGATCGAGCACACTAAGTTTCCGTAGTAAGCTCTACCGTCTACGCAGACTCGTAGCGCTACGCGAATTTTATCTTTAAATAACACTCAAACACCTTAGCGAAGTAAAAAACGTTTTTTTGCGTTTAATTTTAAGGCAAGCGAACATAAATAAATAAAATGGGTACGTGTGCTTATGTACTCGCGTTAGAAGTTACACTTTATTCTTAATAAATTTTTTTTTAATCAGTTTGGAAAAAAATCGATTAAACAACATCCTCAAACACGCATATTGGACATCCCTTTTCTTGACATCGTATAAATTCGGTAATTCTCGGTACGGTTCGGAAAGTTCACCTGCGGCTATATTCAGACTCGCCAAGCTACGTCGGTCGTATTGTAACGAGCGATTTAGTGGGCAACTTCATTTCTGTTAATTTTGTGTCACGGTAAAAATTTCACTCTCATCAATTTTTTATAATGCGCCTCTTTAGGCTTCTTTACGTACTTCTTTAAGTATAACTTCAACAAGTTTACACGTACACTGAGATTTTTGCTACATGCCTTGTTGATTATATAAATCAAAACACGGCTGTCTAGATCACTTTCCTGTTGCAAACCAACAATTAGTTTACAAATTATAATATTATTCAGAACTTTCAAAGTCACTAATCGATTTATAGAAACCACAAAAGTCAATCAAGTGCTTTAAATTATGTAACTGAAAGCGAAATGCGTCTTTAGAATGGATGTCTAATTAATTTTTCGTTCAAAAATATATGTTCACTAAATTGCCTACGCTCAACAAAGTCGCTTCTATGTACCGGGGTGAATGACACCGAATGCAAATACAAGGAACCTGTCTACCAATTAATGCCGCCTATACCAAGGAAAATTGTCAGAAAATCGAAAGACCACGCTGATTAGAATTGATAGGAAATAGCTTCGAACGTTGATTTTATCCTGGTAGTTAAAACAATGTTATATCATGTTTTTTTTTATTACTACTAGTTTACTAGTCCAATGTATGAGATTTACATTAGATTACTTTTTTGCGGTCCTAATATATTTTTATAAAAATGTAGTACTAGGTGTAGTATTAGGTGTGGTATTTTAACTTCAAGGTTCACATGCTGTGGACGCACGTTGTGGACAGTGGACCTGTCAATAAAAAAAACAGATGTCCAAAATACGTAAGGAATCTGTACATCCAAGTGTTCAAATTTGACGAACATCGTGACGTTGAGACAACGGCCTTTTGATCTACATAATGACATTATTTTCCGAGAGATGTTGAGTGTTTTCTTTTTTCCATTATCCATGTAATTCTGTAGTTCATTTTCATCCACAGCTAGTCTGATTTTCTTTTTTTTTATCCTACCTAAAAATTTGAAAAAAAAAATAATCGAATTTTCTTTGATTTTAAATGGCGCCCGGGATTTACGATAAGCATTTTGACAAGTGCAAATGAAACAAAAACCAGTATCACTCACTTATCTTTACTATTAGCATTATTAGAGTGCTATGATAAGTGGCCGGCTTTATCATAAAATATCAGCACCACTCTGCACCGTGAACACCATGATACAGCGTTCGATACTCGCCTTAAAATGTTGATAGGGTTGCCATGTTTCATTCAATAAATTCCCTACTCTTCATAAAATATTAAACTAAAATGACTAATACTTAGAATGTTGGCGGGAATTCGATGACGGAAGTTTTGTGATTTCATTTTATTTTATATATCCTTGGCTTTAAACGTGTAATGAGGGTTTGTTAATTGTTTAGTGTCTGTGAAAATACACCAATGTGTGGAAATGAAACAAAGCCGCTGGACTTTACTTTTCGGGTTCTAGCAAAAAAGTCCACTGAATAATCCACAGTAAACAACCACTAACCTATTAAGTAAATAAACAGTAACCAATTTTACTGAGACTTTGTTTCATCCCATCTCATCTCGTTTCATTTCATTTCATCGCAATTGGCTATTGATTACAGTCTGAATATAATCAACTTCATGTGATGTTTCCATATTACAGAATATGTACCTATGTATCGAATATTTTTTTATAAACTTGACACCGGTAACACTGATATTACAAGAAGCCAATTGCCATACTTAAAAAAGAAGAAGAAGAAGAAGAAGTCTTCTTACGAATTATTTTGTTCTTCTGGCGAATACTTAGTGCATATTAAATTTGATGTATTATTTCACAAAAGGTACATATTTTTACTTTTTTCTACAATGATAAATTTATAGTCTGTAAGTAAGTACCCAAATAGTGAAGATCATAAGGTAATGCCACATTTTAAAATTGTTGAGCTTAAGTTCTTGTCAATTTCATTTTAATCATCTTTTTTTTAAATTAAATATTCAGGTTAATTATTTTTAAGTGATAGCAGATAGAAATAAAATATTTTATGTTCCTCGAAACGCTTTCACAACCTTATTACTAGTTACTAATTGCCTATATCTTTAAATAGGTAATAAAGGTTTTTTTATAATATTCTGTCCCAATATTGGGATTGTAAAATGTAACGATAATGTCTACATCTACCGCGAATTAATAGTGGACTCTCCTTCGAAGGATAAGAGAGTCGCAGTAAAATATAATTGAGAGTCCACCACTCTGATTTAAATGGGCTCCGGTAACTTAAAACCAGATGAGCTGTGAGTTCGTTCACCTATCATTAATGCAAAAAAAATTCTTTAAACTTAGTAGCCAAGCGTCACCCCTACTAGGAGAGCATCAAAGCAAACACGTTCCTTACTTCCTACTGTAGCGAGTTACATCGCCGGTACTACATCTACACCAGACTGGGCTAAAAGTTCATCGACCACGGCCAACTTGTGACAATACTTTTATTTGTCAATAAAATAAAATTCGGTTATGTCTTAAACGTATTCCGCACTTTAATTTCAAGTATTCCTGTCTACTCCATTTAAAATCACAATAGAATACACGAAAAATACATTTTAAGTAAGACACAATTAAAGAAAATAAAACAATGTTGTTATCTTAGCTAAAGTTTATTCGTGTGTTCGGCTAAGTTCCTTAAATCACAAAATACCTACCTCTAATACCGACAATTTACTCATGGTCTTAATCATACATTTATTGTTATTGAGGAATTATTCTTTTCGGTGTAGTTTGCCTCCACAATTATAAAAATGAATACAATAAGTTCAAATAATTAAACACAAGGAAACTTTTGATTAAAACATCACCTGAAAGACTTGCTTAGGTTGTTGACCACCATTATTCTCGACAGATTCTTCATTAGTAGATTCCTCAATTGCCTTTGCCTTCACATCTTCAGGAACATCAGCCTGTGGGATTTGCCCCGCTCTAACTAGATAACTAACAAAGTCCTTAGCGGCGTTCATCTGTGCATCTTTTTTGGTGGTAGAGTTTCCAGCTCCTAAATATGAAAATCCTTCGACGCGGACTTCGCACAGAAAGCGTTGGCGGTGTTTAGGACCTGCATAAATTCAGTCCAGGATAATGTATAATAATTATTGAATAATGTTAATTCTGGACAAATCAGTCATCATTAAAAACATTATAATTCAAATTTAATTGTACCTGTGGCCCGGATATCGAAAAGCGGAGTTAAGCCTTTCNTATAGTCTAACAAATTTCTTTATTAAATATCGAAGCATAGGTACATACAACAAAAAGGATTTGTAATTTAACATTTGTATTATAGCTGAGATGGCTTGAGTTAAACACTTAAAAAAACATTAAAATATAAAGTTCACTTATCTGCGATGCAGCAGCTCGCGAACTAGTAATTATAAATTACATTACCTATCATAAATATGTTTTATTTTTAATAGGAACAAAATAAACCTTACTCAAATAAAACTGTTTTAGTGATGTTCAGTCAAGGAATGTCTTAATGAACTATAACAAAAAAGTCGGGATAGGGATGTGAAACTATAGTTTACATGTGACATTATGTAATTTGGTAAGCTAACGTGTATCGTTATAAATATATGTACCTACTATTTGTCTTAGAAAGAGTATTAAAATCTGAAGGATACAAATGCTCTGTACAATAAGTGTTTTGAAACAAATGTAGATATAATATTATACATACGTAGAAGTCCAAATATGAAGCATTAAATTGGCGATCGTAAATTTTATTGCTTAGATGGGTGGACTAGCTCGCAGCCCACCTGGTGTTAAGTGGTTACTGGAGCCCAGACATCTACAGCGTAAATGCGCCTTGCGATATAAGTTCTAAGGTCTCAGTATAGTTACAACGGCTTCCCCACCCTTCAAACCGAAACGCATTACTGCTTCACGGCAGAAATAGGCAGGGCGGTGGTACCTACCCGCGCGGACTCACAAGAGGTCCTACCACCAGTAAATATTTAAATACGTAATGCATTTTCTGTAGTATTCTTTCTTTCAGTTTGTTTAGTTACTGTTGCAAGTAACCGAAAGGCCTTTCACATACTCAGACCTAATCTGATAGTTATAAAAAATATTTTTATATTATGTAACTATCAATTACAACTTTTGTTTTTCTGTCTTTTTTACGCAATTTGTGTATATGATCGATACGTTCCGTTGGGCATCTCGTACTCTTTCCAGGAAACAATATGCATGATAAAAAATCCTTTTTTTTTAATTTAGACATTTATTTTCGTTTGAACGTTAATATCATACATAGTATTTCGAAGGATCACATCTAGATTCCAATTTCCCAACTTGGTATACCAATGGAAGTGAAGTTATAATAAGAAAATCAGTTGCAGACACATAAATACAAGTATAGTGCTGTCCAAATTATGACCAGATTTAGTCCACATATAGATAATAACACCCTTTCTTAAAAAATTTGTTGGCAATATTTCGAAATTACAGACATTATTATTGATTCACATAAAAGTTATATGCTTTAGAATCACCAAACCATTCTCCTTTAAATTTTGTACTTGCATTGATTTATCTAGGATCCATATAACAATGAAATTTAAAAACACAAACATAATATTATCGCAGTCTATAGATTTTTAACAGAGTTGACTTTCATTCTACTATAATCACGAAACATTTATATAGTAAAACAAAGTTACAAGTTACAAAACAAAGTTTTAGTGATAACGTGTATTTTTCAGTTACGTCTTACTAATAATTATAGTAATTAGATTGAAGAAGTCAAGAAATTTCAGGATTTAGTTTAAAAAACTATTTTATATCCTGGAAATATAAAGATCCTTGTTTCGTATAAAAATATAAATACCTTAAAAAATTTCACTTTGGACATTTCAATTTGTCATCATCACTGCCTGATACACTATTAAGCCTTCGTCAAACAGAACGCGTAATTAGCGCGCATCAGAGCGCTACGCTATGACGCCGAGATGTGATGTACTACTGTGGTAACATAGCGTCACACATATGTAGCGCGCATAGCGCTGGCGCTCTGTTTGACGGTATGTTACTATAGTATTACGACACATCTCGGCGTCATAGCGCGGCGTCAGTTTAGCGCTCTGACGCGCGCTAATTACGCGTTCTGTTTGACGAAGGCTTTAGTTAACACTAAACACGATTCATTAAATTCCATACTGTCACACTATAATCGAACAGCACTATCATCAATAAAGTCTTTTTCTGGACTGCTCTTGGCGTTTTTGGTACCACATGATACCGAGAACGACTAGCACAATGATTACAATGGCAACAAACATCATCCAGAGGAATGTTTTGATGCCTGACATGGCTGGCTTGGCGTCTTCGATGCGTTCGCGTGGTGCTTCGAATGAGGCTGCTGAAGGGATAATGTGAGATCTATCTTCGTCTTTTTTTTGCTAGAAAAAAATATTACGATATATTTTAGAAATAATACATGAACTTTCAATTCTGAAAATTATGAATATGCTTTTTTGTATCCCACAAAGTGATAACTAAAATAGAATTCAAGCTGAAGTATTAAGGGTCTACAAATTTTAAGAAATGCAGCAGATGGATTGTTATCATATAGGCAGGTCGTAGTTTGCTTTGTTTGCTAAGTTAAGAAATGTGAACAGTAAATAAGATGGCCTCTTATTATGAAAGCACAGATAATTTAGATTACGCTATTCTTTGCTTAACTATTAACTATTTATCTTCAAATGTAGGAACAACTATTTCTTGTTTAATTTTATTATTTTATAAGTTAGGGTACTTACAGATTCAAGTAGATCAAGTTCAAACATTTTTATAGAGATAATGTCATGATTATCACTTAAGTCTCCAGTAGTGGCAGAGGCACCAAAGTAGTACCCAGTAGGCAACAGGACATTCTCCACTTTCAAACATTCCTTCCAGGCATTCTTGCCTTCCAAATCAGTTGATACTGAAAAAAAGACAATTATGAACATTTGTTTTTTTGTGTTTTTTTTTGTAAATGAATTTAATGTCATTCAATTATGTTATTTTTTATTGTTAGAGAAGCATATAACTCGTTTGATGTACAGTGGTCGACGAGTGGACGACAACAACGCAATGACACATACCCTGTAGACCGAATAGTAAACAGTCGACGTCGCCCTAAACACGTAATAGTCGACGTCGCCATAAACATGTCATTACGGATCCTCTTGATCTATTAATGGTGCCTTTAGGTACCTCAAGCACCAGTCACCTGTCCGGCCCGGAACCTGTCGCTTGCGACGAAGGGCTCGACGAGTAAATTAACACAGCCCACTACAGTGATATATATACTTATGGATATAAGAGTGTTTTGAGATACGAGCCGCCGAGCGAGCGATATTTTTCTTTAATGAGAGCAAGATTTGAGATATGAGGAATCGCATAGGTACTACACCTACGACCCCAACATGCGAGGCGCATGTTGATGTATGGATGTACGAGCGTAGCACATCAATGTTATTATTTACCGTTATATACATTTTTCTTATTCGAAAACATTTAACAAAAACATCTTATGTGGTTTTTGGGAGCTGTAACCAATTAATGGGATTTCAATTAATTTCAATGGGGAAAATTGCTTTGAGATACGAGCAAAGTTACGGAACGAATAAAACTCGTATATCGAGGTACCAATGTTTTGTTAACTCACCAATAAGTGTATCATCCCTATACACTATAGAAATATGTGAATCATGGTTGAAATTTCGAAACTTTGCTTCGCAGCCAGAGAGCTGAGTGTGAGTTCCATCACGATCGTGGTCGTAGTGGAGTGTTCCATTATTTACCATCGCTGATATGTATGGATGCTGGTGCTGTGGAAGTTATAATTTTTAGAAAAAAAAAGCTTTTTTACTGCTATTGAAAGCAGTTAAAGATCCAGTCCTACTGATGGTGAATGGTCACTGTCATTCATGAACATCAGCTAAGCCACTGCCTAGCCCTAAACTCTCCTCAAAAGATTATTGTCAAGTCAGATGGTATGTGGACAAAAAAGATTTCTAGAATGCACTGTGAAAGAACATAGTGCTTCTTAGTATGAATTAGTTTTGCTCTAGTTACTTATGGGGGTCTTGTGAGCTCATGAGAGTGTGGTGACTCACAAGCCACCCAGTCGCATATTTATGTTGCGAAGCAATTAATGTGTATCAGTTTGAAGGGTGGGGCAGCCAATGTACTATAAAACTTATAGTTAGAACTCCTGTTTCAAAGTAGGTGTGACAATATTTACAGGTTGACTTCTATGCGTTGCGGTCACGACTTAACATCAGGTAGGATGTACACCCATATAAGCATTAAAATTTTAAGAAAAGCCAAACAAATGGTAATGAAATATAAGAAATAGCACTAACCTTACTAGCACTAACCTTACTAGCACTAACCTTTTGTTTAGTAACTAAGCAATGACTCTACCGTGGAACTTGTTCATACTCTTGAAAGTAGTTTGTTTTAAACAATTATTACATTTTATATATTTATATAATTGGTGGTTGGTTTATTAGAGTTTAGCACATTATACATATAATTGTAATTTGAGTATTTACCGATAAGAGTGGATTTTGTGGCACTGCATGCGTAGGTATAATTATTTTATTAATTATTATTATTATTACTAATTATTTTTGGAGCTAAGCAGCAATGTATTTAAGTTTAAAGTATACAATTGAAACTTAGACCTTGTGTCTCAAGGTGGGTGGTAGCTTCAAATATCTGTGGGCTCCTGTAACCGATTAACACCAGGTGGGTTGTGAGATCATACACCCATTAAAACTTTAAAATTGTTCCTTTTTATTGTCCTTGTAGGCTGAAGATCATTCGTCCCACCTGATGTTGGTTACTGTCGCTCATGCCAATACGCTGCCTACAGTTTTGAATTGACTATATTGATGCATGAAGGTAGCAATTGATAAAATATATTATTATTTTCTAACACTATTATTTATATAGTACTTTTGCAAATACCATATTTCATTGCATTACTCACATTATGAGCACCATTGTGGTTGCTGTATGTGTCGAGTATGATTGCTAAGCCATTGAAGTAGTCCTTACTGCCAAATACAGGGCCACTTTCCATTCTCTCTTTGACATACCATATTGCAAATCCATCACCAAATAGCTCTTTTCCTCGACCATGCACTTTGAATTGCACCTGTAGTTCCCAATTTCTAGTGTTACAGGGCTGCAAAAACAATAAAAAGTGATTTAAGCAAAAGTTTTGTTTCAAAATTATTCTGAACCAATAATTATAGGTTACATTATAACATTGGGTTATGTTCTTTATCTTAGTATATATATGTATATATATATTTCTGTGCGTGTGTTTGTCAATGAACTCCTCCTAAGCAGCTGGACCAATTTTAATGAAATTTTCTGTGTACCTTCAGGTGGATTCGAGAATGGCTCAAATTTACAAATCAGCCCGTCAGATGGCACTGCAGTTAGTGTCTAGGTAATTTTTTTTTTAGAAATAATTTATATGACAAAACAACATTTGCTGGGCCAGCTAGTGATATGTAAAATGCCACATTGTTTAAATTATTCTGGAAATTGTAGCCAAAGTATTCTTAAGGTGTAGAGTGTTAGTGAGGGTACTTATTATCATTTTCACAAAAAAAAGAGACCTGCCTGGTTTGAGTGATTAATAATATACACAAATCACTGTACCAACAATTACTCAATATTTGCAATGAAGTTTGCAATTCAGTTCATTAAATAATAAAACATAAAGTATGCCTTAGAATTATGGGTAAGAAAGCTTATTATCTAAAATGAGATTTTTTAGAAGTATGTATTATATGCACGCATATTATTATTAACTACAAATATTTTTACTGTTTAGCATTTTCATATTGATTTCAACATTGACTCATTGTTTGTTTGTTTCATTCTGAATACTACTCACTCCTAGTTCCGTATCTTTGTTCCATTTTATGATTAAGTTTATAATAATTAATAAACATGACTGGCATTGTACCGCTGTGTTCAAATTTATTTTGCTTTATTATCTACGTTACCGAAAAGAGCTACTGTTTTCTTAACAGAATATGAAAATAGTTTTTTTATGGTAAATAATTTAAAAAATATGCCTAATAATCTTTGAAAATTTCACTGACACTTTTGATAATTTATTAACGCTCTAAAATTTCGCCAGTGAAGTAAAATTACTTCATTTAAAAGTGGTAATTGAATTACTTAGTGTCATTATTAATAATTAATATGTTTGAGTTGGTATATCTCGTTTTTATTACAGGCTTATCGGTCATTGTGTGTTTGTAGTACCTAGGTAACAATGTAGGTAGGACTTACAACAGTATTCCATAGAGCACCAGCTTTTGATTGCAAATCGGGTGTTAGACGCACATAATTCGAGGTTACAATTGTACTACCTAAAAAATCCCAATATGGCAAGGACATTCCACTACCTAAAACAAAATAATTGGGTTTTATTATATATTGACTCGCTTTTCAAGATCATAGTGAGGTTGATGTCGGCAACCGAGGTCACTCACCTTGATAGGGTTTTGTCAAAGAGTGCTCTCTTCTTATGTAGTCCCTTGTATTCCATTCTGCAAATATTGGGTTGAGAAATAACGTAGCGCAAAGGATTTGCACCCAGCTTATTCTCTGATGAATCATTGTTCAAAAGTCCAACTCGATCTTTGATATCGAAGAATGATGACAAATGTTAATGAAACAGTGCACACCATAGATTATACACTTAATATGTGCACACGCCAAATCGGACAAATCGTTGGAGAGCATAGATAATACACTTATTGTTTAATTTTGTGTTGGAGAGTACATCTAGTGTTGCCAATGAGACTTATCACACTCGTGAGTAACTCGTTCAGTGTGCTTAGTGCGAGTTTTTTAACGTTCTCGATAGCGTAATAGTTAACTCAAATTTGTATGGAGTTGCAACGTTCGCCTACGTTTACCGTTAGGGGCGCTGTTCCAACTGCATACAAATCGAAATTGGAAAGTGGATAGATCATATTATATCTGTTTATGATCTAACATTATTTGCTGTCGATCGAGATTAGTTTTTACAAATTAAAAATGAATACGTTCGTAAAAAGATCGTTTGTCTCGTTTGGAGAGCTAAGTTTTATATTAATTTGCAAGGAAAAGAAAGGTATTTTATATTATATCACAGATGGTAAATTAACCCCATCGATATTCTCTAGTCAGTCATCAAACGTCAATACAATCTCGAATGTGATTGATCTACACAAAAATAATAGCTAATAAATAATACACATGCAGTGAATCATAGAAACGCCAATCCTTCATTCATGGTTTTGGTTTTACTCCGTTTACTTAGATTTTATTTATCATTACTAAAAGTTGTTCCAATATTAGATTTAGAACACAGTCAATCTCACAAAATACAAAAAAAGTAATTAAATCAAGCTTAGTTAAGTTATAAAGCAATGCATTTTAATTAACAAGAAGAATTGTGAAAGTTTTAAATCTGTTTCAACGCTCACCATGTTATATCTCTATATAATCGGTAGATTGACTTTTTCGGCAGGTTGGGGGTAAAGTATTATGATCTTTTTTATGTTAATTTTGTATTTCTTAGAATTATAAAGTGTACCGTGTTTTATTAATCGCTTAGTATCGGTTAAAATGAGTACGTGAAGTGTGAGAAATGAAAAAATTGGCCGCAAGCGGTTTCTGGGATTCTTCTAAGAACCTTTCATTGAAGCTTAGTAAATTCCTCTCATGTGAACGCTATATTGGTATATTTCATATAATAAGATATCACTGCATTCCATTTAATTTCATTTTGTAATAATATTTTTTAGAGAAATCAATTTAATTTCTATCCGGTCCATTTAAATTTTCATAATCATTTGGCAAACTTTTAACAAGAAATTATTGACACACTGGTGAAAATATGGCTAAACGTGCCTATATGCCAAATGCCTAGAACATCACAATACTACTATTATCATCTGTAATATTTTGTGTTAACTGTGTGATTACTACTAATGGAATTATTTCTCAAAAAACATCCACGTTTTAAATTCAACGCTGGCAACAATTACAACGGAAATTATAATGATGAAAATGCAGACCGTACGCAGATAATATCCAAATGTTCTAAAATTTCCATGAACCAATTACTGTTAATTATTATCTTTTTGAATACTGTACAAATTACTCACAAAGTAAGTTAATCATTTTGTACACATATCAACAACGTACTACAATGAACATAATATATTTGGCTTATTAGTTTCACAAATAAAAGAAACAAGTCAATTGTCATAGTAGATAATTAAAAAAAATTACTATTATAACTTTTATTTAATCATAAAGAAATGCCTACATTTAAGTTTAAACACCAAAAATTTAAATTATGAAAATGACCATGTCTTAGATATATCTCATCAGATACAAGATGGCGCTGTACAACGTGACGCCTCAGTTGTCAGTGTCGAATGAATACATAGATTACACACAAATTTGAAGTTTTTTTCGTTTCTGACTTGAGTTGCGTGTGTACTCATGCAGTCTATTCTAAAATTCATAGATGTCGCTTGAATATACAAAAATTGAGGCTGTCTACATAGTACTAGTGTTTCGAGTCTTAAATATACTACTAAGTATTAATACATACTTAGTATGTTTCAATTATTAAATATTGGAATAAAAACCAGGTGTAAATTTGAAAGTAAATGGTCCATAATCAATGACCCGAAGCTCGGATTTTCTCCTGTGTTATGGATATCTTTAGGGCTAGCGTGAGGTAAACTGGGAGAAGCCTGTCTCCAGCAGATGTGAACTGCAGGCTGATGATAACGATGTTGATATAAGCTGAGTAAGAATTTAAAAAAAGCAAAAGTAGTCGTATACGATATGTTAAAATTACTTTTACGGATGACATCAGTGATCACGAAAAATGAAATATTCAAAACGTCGTCAATATTAAAATGACAATAAAAAAATGCAAAATTGAACTATAAAAGTAGTGTAAAGGCTATGACTCGAAATAACGCGGCATTAGCGGTAGGTATAATCGCATCGTTCGACAGGTGTATAGAGGCAGTCTTACCTTTAGTTAGGTTACGGCCTACTCTGCTGCTTATAGGTAATTTATCTAATACTATGAGAACATATCTTAACTTCTTAGTAGTTTATATTAGGGAGATAGGGGTAAGCAAAATAAATTTCAAGCCATCGCCATCTGCTTTATGTCCCGGTTCTTTTATGGATTTTTCGAAACTTTCACGAGCACTCACTTAATGAATAACTAATAATTATGGTGTATAAATACTATGGTCTGGCCAAAATAAGGGTGCGGCGAACTTTCTCCTCGTGATGTATGCACCTACTTTCACTTGGTTTGCTACACAAACCTCTGTAAGGTCAAAACCGCTCTTGTGCGAGGGTCAACATTTGCCAACTTTTACCTCGCTCCGTGTCGATTCAGTTGCGTAGAGATCCACAGTCTCTCTCTCTCTGTTCCCAGCTATTTATCCCACATGGTGGTGGGGTCAGCTTTCCTGACTTTACTCCTCCACTTCGCTCTGTCTTCGACATCCTCGTCAGCAACATTGCATTCTCTCTTGTCCTTCAGCACTATGTCCCTCCACCTTGTCTTGGGTCTACCTCTAGGTCTCCACAGTCATTATGGCATATTGCGCGCGGTACACAAAGGCTTTATATACTTTGGCGATGATAATATTTCGTTGAGATAACGTTCGTAAAAACGGTATTTTTTATTTACAGAATCACTTGGATCGATTTTTGTAAAAATAATAATTGTAGTGGATTTAAATTTCAAAGTACTGAAACGCGGGCACGCTCATCTGTGATTCAAGCGCATGTTGCTAGTTGCTGTTGATAGTACTGCAGAACCTTACCGGTCATGCAAACAATAACTGTCACAAGGATTAACCATAGATTACGTACGTAGATGCCGCTACCCACCTTGATCAAGATAAAATGGTAGACAATGGTTCGGTTTGACCACCTTCAAACCGAAACGCATTACTGGTTTACGGTTGAAAGAGTAATAGATATGTGGGGCGGACTCACAATACGCCTTACCACCGGTAATTACACAAATTATAATTTTTGCTTGATTTTGGTTAAATTTATAATATACTAGCTGTATCCGTCCGCTTCGCTGGGCATTTAAAATTAACATTATTATTTCTCACCCCCACAAAAATTCTCATCATTAACGACCCCGCAACTGGTGTAGGGAGTCCAACACTTATATAAATATTAGCCTATCCATTAAGTACATGTATTTTCTACATGGATACCAAGTTTCAATTCAATCGGATGCATTTTTTACTAGCTTTTGCCCGTGACTTCGTCCGCGTGGAATATAGTTCACAAAGAATGCTTTATTTTAGAACACATTTAGTTTGCATAACAAACGTTATAGTGAGCCAACTTTAGCATATGTCGCGGACTTTTTTTTAGATGTTTTCAAGGAGAACAATTATTTTAGCGAAACTTAACCGTTTCTACAGCGCACGCAGCGGAAGCTCTCAAAACCCGATTTTGAAACATCATTTATTGGTGCTCCGATTGTATTGGTCTTAGCGTGATGTTATATAGCCTTATAGTCTTATAGCCTTCCTCAATAAATAGGCTACTGAAAGAATTTTTCAAATCGGACCAGTAGTTCCTGAGATTAGCGCGCTCAAATAAACAAAAAAACTCTTCAGTTTTATAATATTAGTATAGATTTTAATCCAACAACAAAACTATTGGGAATAATTAATCGATAAATTATTTAGGGCCTCTACTTCGCAACGACTCGACAACAGCTCTCTTAAAAATGCCTGGCCCCTAATAAATTATCAACTTGGCCCTGTTCATTACCCTTATCAAGCTCAATTCCGTGTTTTGCGAGCGCTATGACATGTCCTTCTTCAAACTCAGGCTTGTGGAGAGTATTAAGCGGTAGGCAGCGGCTTGGCTCTACCCCTGGCATTGCTGAAGTCCATGGGCGACGGTAACCACTCACCATCCGGTGGGCCGTATGCTCGTCTGCCCACAAGGGCAATAAAAAAAAAATTGGTCGTTCATGAGTTCGATCCTTTTGCAACCACCTTAATGCGTCCATAATGCTGTCCAAGAATCTTAATGACATTCCGCCGATACGATCAACTTTCGCGCGATCAACGCAAGCTTCCATCTTGTCTGTTTTCCTTCTAAGCCGGCGATTTTGTAAACACCGAGTCACGCAGTTCCGACTAATGTCACCACAATTTTATCTTCAAAATTGGATAGCTATAATTTTTTTGTTCAAATTTAAAGTTTCTCTTTTTAGTGGACATTCATAATCGGTTTAGTTAGGAGACTTGTGGTATAACACAGTTTTAACAGGATGGATAATTCAATAGATATTTCAAAACACTACAGAATTCTTAACAGTTATCTTATCAATATTTGTTCATATAGCAATTGTCACATTGCCTAAGTAACATGGCTGCATTTTGGACATGTCTTGTATATTATTAAAATTTTTATGCTCACATTTATTCGCTCTAAATCTTTTTAATTTATTACTACATACTTTAACCTTAAGTATTTCTATATAGGCTCGTTCAAATTTATGGTAACCCCAGTTCTGATAAATAGTTCGTATTATAGTCGTTTTGTCTGTCTGTCTGAGCCTCGGAAGTGAAAGTACTTATAGAAAGTTGAGGGAGCCTAGCGGCCAT